AAGAAGGAAATGTGCCTTCTCTTCCTCTGGTGTGTGAAAAGGCCTTTGAATAACCATCCCAATGATTTCCTGCAATGGCAAGCTCTTCATCAGCTGTCAGGTCGAGTTCACTCTTGTCTCTTGCCTTATGAGCGATTTTCACCCTCACTTTATGCTCATTTTGACCACCAAAGTAGTAAACGTCGTCTAAAGACTGAAATCTTCTCGATGCATCAACGTGTTTTCCGTTCATGATCTCATATGCCAGTCTGCATACCTACGTGCAGACACAAAACTGTCATCAAAGATTTGGTTTCACTTGAATAAATTATGTTTCTTGCCGTCTTCATTTACCATGGATACATAAAAAATTGGTAATATGATTCCAAAGTCCCTATTAAGTATTTTGCATGAAATATTTTGATGTATTTTCAGGTAGCGTCCTTATGGAAAAGACAGAATAAATATGCAATAAATGATAATTGCCACTGTGGTTGTTGATTTATTGTAATTGTAACTTTGTAACCGGTCAATAGTGTGATGCATGCTGACATGGAAATCGAATCAGTTTTGAGCAAAATTTACAAGCCTGTTGAAGTTATTTCTTGTCCTCTCCCTGCAAATTCTAAATTCAATATATTTGGTGACAGGAGTGAGATGGCGGTGGCCAAAAAAATCGGTTTGAACTTTGATATCATTTGGTTTTTCTTACTTTTTATATTGTACAAGGAGAAGGATGATCGACATGAAAACTTGAAATTGATACATTCATGCAATGCTGATTCTTGCTTTTTATCTTAGACAGCAATTCATTTTCATGAAAAAAGAGTAGAGAAATTGAGCATGATGATGCTAGATTAGATGGGTCAACATACCTGAGACGAAAAAGTGCAAACAACATAATCCGTTTCTGAAAGCAACTCTATATCCGATATGATTCCATAGAGCGATTGCTCGCTATGCCTATGGTCGAGATCAGCAAGCTTTGAAGCGTCGTTGTCACTAACAAAGGTGATGTCTGGATACCTTGAAAAGCAAAAAGGCGATATCTGGATACCTTGAAAAGCAAAAAGGTGATATCTGCATACCTTGAAAAGCAAAATTGTGTATAGCTATAACAGAAGTGACCAAAGATCCGTAAATAAGTGAGTCTAGATGCTTCTATGCACTAAAGGACATAAGCCTCCCAAGCTAAGACACTAAATGAAATACTTTTGACTTACCAGTTTATTGCTACATAAGCTTAACGCTAATAGAAATTACTGTTTACTGGTCTGTCATTAAGGGTTCGATATCGTATAGGCTGAGCTGAACTGTTCCGGTGCCTGGAGATCACATTAAGCATGAAAATCGGAGAAGCAACTAAGAACCATCCTGTTCTATACACCATCCTGTTCGTGAGCTAAATACTAAATTCAGGCAATCTGGGTGATTTTTCAAAGTGAACTGAACTTAATTCAACTTTAGCTGTGAATTGAACTTGAAAAATCAACTAACAAAAAAAAATAAAAGAAAGTCAATATTATCTTTTATGTTCGGAAAAACCAGTAAAAAGATTTGGATATTTTTCCTGTGTATGTATTTATTATATGGAATCGATCACTTTTGAAAAATAGGAAGATACACTGTTTATTACCATATTTTTATGGACATTCAAGGCCATAAAAAGACATATTATGAATTTTTGTGATATTGACTAGTTCATCTGAATTTAGAAGATCATTTTGACGACTTTCTTGTACAATCAGATAGATCAGAGGATGAAACTCGGAGCAAACCCAGTATCAACTTTCAACAAAGCCTTTGATGAGCTCATTCTAAGATAAAGTCTTTTAGAGAACTTCAAGGCCATTTTCAACTTAGGTGTCAATGTTCACTGTCATGTCGATTGATAGGATAGTATTATGAGTAATATGAATCGCCTCAGAGAAATTGTTGCCATTCAGCGATGTATAAAATTAAATTTTAGGATCCTTACCTAGCTAAAATGCTTTTCAAAGACAAAGGGCATTTTTCATTTGTTCTAAAAAGAGAGAGCGTATATGCTCCAGCATTTAGGTCTATTTTCATAAAGATCCCTCGTGATTGAAAAATCTATTCTAGCTAGAGGAAATTGAATGAATTTGGCGAAATAAAAGGCTTTAAAAGCACTTACTTCTCTTTTGCTTCAGTTAGAAGACCTCGATCATCTGTGGCCATATATATTCTCCTCGCATCTAACTTCCTTGTCAATTCAAGCTTTTCAAAATATCTTCGAGCCCATTTTACATATTCCCCAAGATCATGATGTGCTGCTTCAACATTGACTTTGTCAGTTCTTCTTACGTGTATCCTGCCAGAATATCAAAGCACTGCGTATGATTCTCTTTTATCCAGTACAGTTTTCGATGACAAGGTGGATGGAAGAAACGAAAGTTTCTAGATATGCAAGCTTAGATTCATAACAAAAAACATGATGAGCTGAATCATATTTTTAACTGACAATTATTGGACCGTAGCCTTAATTGTTTGGCATTGAAAGCCATAAACGGAGCAAACATTCTTCAAACTTGTAAGCAGGGTAACTTTTAGGTTAGTTTGTGGAACATAAATTTATACAGCATTTCTATTTTCAACTGCAAACTTCCATAGAAGACGTTAACTTTAAATTAAAAACATCACATGCTAGAAGTAAGCATACCCAACAATTGGCGATTTGAAACCAATTCTTCTCTTCTTTTCATCAATTCTTTGCTTCATTGAAGGCTGGTATCGAAAGAGAAAGGCACAAATCTGACCAACCCACCAAACAAAAGGCACCTCATGGAATTCGATAATCTTGTCAACTAAGTCACGCGGAACTGCCTGTGGAAGCTGGTCTGGCTTTGGGTAGATAGTGTCGATTACTGGCAGATGTGCAATCAGCGCTTTCGTGTTATAGGCCATTCCCCAGTACACTCTTCCAAAGCCAACATTACGACATGATTCACTCACAGGCAAGAATGTCCCTTCCCATCCTTTCTTTGAATATCTCCAGCCTCGTGAGTTTATAACCATGGTCCTATTCGAGCTATATGCCATTATCATACAGTAAATTATGTGATGTACTTGGCAACCATATCCACAAGCCTTGTTTAGGGTGCAAACTAACCTGCGTGCCTTTTTGCAATCATCGGGGTTTTGCAGTTTATTGAGTCTTTGTCGTACTTCATTTGACAGTTTTCTGTGCATAGTTTTTCTATAAGTGCCCATGCCGTCAAGATCTCTAAGAATCTCTAATTCATGAATTGTATGTAATGATAACTGTTCAACGTCTGTTTTGAACTTTTCAAACTCATACTGCATAAAAACATCACCTGCCTTTTTTTTAAGCTTTTCGAATTTATCAGTTAGAAAATAATTCATTTCTCTAACATAATTGTCTATTCTACGTCTAGAAATTTCATATTTGATACTAGGTGCTCTATTCGTATCAAAAGAACCTACAATATCTTTATTCACTAATGTATCAATCCACTTGTGTTCATCACTCCTCTCATTATTGTTGTCCTTGTGTTTAAAAGCCATCTCGATGTCATCATGAATCGCTCTCACTTTTCTACTGTTTGTTTCTCTCTGCAAAACCATGTTTTCTTTCCGTAGTATTTCTGCCTCGACTTTCGTTTCCTCCAATGCCATTAAAGTTTTTTGTGATTCTTCTACAAGCTGATACAGATGCATACCCATGTATACCAAAATCATTAGCCACGTCAATGTTACTCCAGAGAGGATTTTCAATAATCTTTTTCCAGCCATGGTAATTTCTCACTTGAAAGTGGTTATCATGATTTTGATAAGAGCAAGACACTCAGCATGAAAGGAGTCAGAAAGAGGCAGTTTCTTCTTGGGAGAAAGCAAATTATCTGTCTGTGTTTCTAATGATCGACGAATTTCATAACAAAAAGTAGGCATTCCATGAACAGTTAACAAAATCTTTGATAAATGGCTTCTTTGATTAGGAAGTATAAGGTGCTATTAATCTTCCTGCGATAGTCATTGTTATCATTCGCTCACCCCTTCTCCGGCAGTTGTAACATACAGTTGAAAGCTATAAAGGCAACTCTAACCACATAAACAAAAGTTACCTACACTGCAGGCTGGTAGTAGGTTATCTTTACCTATTGACCTTTCCTTGACAAGTACCAGTGGTAGATCAAAATGCTACCAACTTGTGTTAAAAACTTGGCTCTTGGTAGAATCGTTTTGAGTTTCAAATTTAGTCTATTACAAAACTCAACTTTTCGCTTTTGAGATATATTTTCAATTGCAATGATGCCAGGAAACCACGTTACACTGTTCACTTATCATGCATAGTCCGATCTTTTACCAAAATTTCCGAACAGTATCTTTGGCATATTTCGGCTGAATCGATATCATATAAAAACAAATCAACATTTCTATCACATTTCTACAATCTTCATCTTGTGTCGTTTGTTTCTATAAGATTATTCTGAAGCCCGTGTTACGGAAATGTAAAGAAAGGACCAATTTGTAATTTCTACCTAAATGAAGCTTCTTTCAAAATCAATAATTTGTACAATCAATTTGATAGGTTATGTCAAATTTTGTCTAAAGGTCTTTGTTTTTTATTGCTTTAGTTCGAGGAGTTCAAAAATCGTCCTCTTCATAGAATGAGATACAAAATTAGCTTCAATCGCGCGAGTTAATCGTTTGCACAAAATCTTACACAAGCTATCTTCGACATTTTCACAGACATTGTTAATTATAAAAATAAACTTTATTATAATTCATAGTTTCAGAATACTAACTAAGAATGTTTTTGTCAGGGTACATTTTGGCCAAAATCTTAAAGTTATAATGATTTTTCCTTTATTGCTGTAATTTTATGCTATTTAGTTCACTTCGCTTTAAAATTTGGATTACATTGCTCGGCCAAACGATCTTTCGTGTGTTTATTTTCTCTGACCTGTCTTTTCGGCGTGTTTTCATTCAACGAATCGCATCGAGGCTGTTGTTATTTTAAATCGAGGTTGGTATCGTGTCTGTAAGCTGTATCTTTGGGCAGTACATAAAAATTGTAAACAATATATCATTTCACCTTCTGTACAGACTATTTACGACTGATGTTTTGATAAGAGGGAGTATTTTATTCAAAATATATCTGCAATCATTGTGTGTAGTTTTGGAGTATGGAGAAGAACGCCATCATGAGGGAAAAAGTGAACTGACTCGATGAGGTGAAAATTTACAGAAGAATAGATAAACCAATATGACATCTGGAAGAAGTCTTAAGCAACTGTCAGCTGCACAGAAATTCAGAAGAAGGAACACTTTGCAAAAATGCAGCGGATGTCATGTAGCATACTTTGTTTTCCTTTTAGCTGTGACATTCGATAGTATTGTATGTGAAAAATATACGCCAGAATTCGACGACAAACATGCATTTGAGATATCATGGCTTGGACCTGATACACAGGTTTGGTGTTTTCTAGGATTCCTATGTTACAGAAATATATGATATGATGGCAGATTTTAAAGCAGCAGTGGCATCAGTTGAATTTGACGAATTTTCAGAAAAGTCGAATTTTCAGTGAGGACTAGGGGTGACTGTGGGATGTATGTCCTCTCCTGCTGTGGCTGAATGGCTCTAATCTTACTTGATAGAGAAAAAATGTCTAAAATGGCCAGATTCTTCGGTAAATGGATACAATTATATTGGGAGGGGCCAGACGCATTAGCAATGCCACATATTTAGAAAGTTATGACTCTGAAAAAAACTGCGGAAAAGTGTAGACAAAAAAACGTGTTGTCTCGGCAATACCAATGCCCTGTGATCCCCAAACAAAATAATGATACACATCTACATTTTCAAACAATCTTCACCCGCCAGTTATTTGCATTAACTTTGGTATAAAAGTTGTTGTATATTTTCGGCTATATGTGTAAAGTTGCATAAGATAATTAAGAAATGTATTTGAGAATTTATCATGTATCAAGTGATGTTTTGTATTTAAGCATCAAAAGAAAAGCAAATCAATAAAAAGTGTTCTGCGCCAGTTGTAGGTGACATTGATTGTACAGTATCCTTATATTTTTGTTTGAATTTGATAACCATTTAACTTTCTTTTAGTTTCCATATCTTTGGCAAAATCTATTGGCTTACCTTATTCGACAAATTGTAAATTGTTTATTTTGGAGTATTTTGAAGGTAGTGTATGTATTTGGTAGTTCTACAGGAGACATTCTCTGTTTAATTTGTATTTTGCAGAGTACTATACTTAGCAGTTTGCAAAACCTGGAGAGCATTGTGATGAACACAAAAGATAAAGAATCCTACAGATGCTTTCTTCCCAAAATAGGAAAATCAAATGGGGTTTGTAAATTTGATTTGTCTCTTTTTAGCAATTTTGTTACTGGCAGATGTTTGAATGCCGTTTTCCACTTCACTGGCAATCCAAAAATCAAATGGGATCCCGTGTTTAAAATTTGCATGCAAACGCTTGTGATTTGCAAGTAAACTTTTGCATTGCGTGTTTGATCTGTTTTCACAGTTCAATTTCTGGCACAAGTTTGCATGTAAAAGAAAGTTCCGGATAAAGGCTAAATTAACATAAACCATCATTTGAATATGGAGAAAATGCCATGAAACATTGAAGGATACAATAATGGAGAGGCAGTGGTAGCCCAAGGATGAGTTGGTATGACAACATCAGAAGATAGAGAATAATATATATATGCCAACAACAGTTTCCTAGCCTTCACATGTATTGTTATCACTGTTTCTGTATTTCTTGAAACTTTTTCTGTACTCGCAAAATACTTTCTAAAGGTACCTGAGTCCAAAATGGTACACTAAGAACATAGATTGTTAAATACAATGTTGTGGTTATCTGCATTGAATGGCTTTTTTATCTATGATAAATAATTATAATGAATGTTGATTTCAATTATAGAATGATAAAGAAACAAGTAGAGGGCCAAAAGCAGAAGATCTTTTATCTGGAATTCTTACTCTAAAAGGAACGAAATGTTCATATAGGGTTGGTTATATCATTTTGTCATTACATATAGTATGCTACAATTATTAAGGTATTAAACACACAGGTCATTATCACAATTAATTTCTTTAATTGTGAAAAAACAAACATTTTTGATTTTCATTTCATAATTTACTGAAAATAACTGTTGGCTTGGTTAAGATTTCTTAAATTCAACTTAATCGATTTTACTTAACAAATTGTGTTAATGTTTTGTGTCAAACTGGTACAAATGACTTGATAAGCCAGATAATTGAATAGCTTCATAAGTGTCATGTCCCTTACAGCTTGAACCATACTGGACTTATGAAGTTTGCCATGGCTTACATGTGAGACAATTTCATGAGGAAAAAGTTCCAGGGCAGGTAAAAAACATTGGTTTATTACATTGAACTGACCAGAGACTGTTCAAAATCTTCAACTTGAAAAAACTTTGACAATGCAGGCATTGATGATTGCAGTATAAGGCCAAATTGTCCAAAGTCAACCAAATGAAAAGTGGATGAATTGTATTCTCCACTAACCAATTTATCTTTGTAAGCTACTTCTACAATGCAAAAGTTGCAATGAAAGTCAGCAAGATAGATAGATAGATGGAAGGAACTGGTTGTCAAGTGTAATTATGTGCAATTATTGAAATTATTTTTCCAATTTAGAATAATGCTGAGCTAAGTACAAGAAATCTGATAATGCAATTGTAGGTAATTCAGTGGCAGAGACTGAGATAACCAAAATTGAGACAAGATCATCTTCCACTTTGTACTTTTCTTCACTCTTTTCAGGAGAAGCCCAAAGTTCAAGAGTATTTCCTTGGCAAAGTCATCACAGGTACACCTAAACATAGTATCTTTGTTTAAAAATGAGAGTCTTCATTTGAAAAACAGAGTATCAAATATTGTTGCTTTGATATTTTCATAAGGTTAGTTTCCAGATCACTCTTTCTTCAGAAATAAACAATAATTTTGATCTATGTGAAGATCTATTTGATCCAATTCAGATATTGACCATTTGAGAACTGATCCAATTTTGAGGAAAAATACGATGGTACTGTCTGGGTTATCAGTAACATACTAGGTGAATACTGATTCTTTTTTTTATTTGGTTACACCATTGCTGTTTTTCTGGCTTGAAAAACATTCTTGCAAAGGATTAATAAATAGTATTATCTCATTCATATAATCATGTGTCTTAGAGGATCCAGGGGAAGCTGCTACAGATGATAAAAAAGCAAATGAAAAGCAAGAGACAGAAAGTGTTAAGGTACAATAATTATATTAGTTGATTGATGTAAGCAAAACCCCAATAAGGAAAAAATAGAAATACTAAGGAATGGGTGAAATGAGCACAAGTTTGTTGGTTTTAGTTTTGAATGAGCAAAGGTTGTACATAACCAAGGAGAAAAAGGGATATAATGCTCCATAGTTTGCAACATCTGGGAAAAAAGACGAGTTGTGGGATATTGCCCATGAAGTTGGCAGAGAGACTTGGAAAGGGTTAGCAAGGGAAGCTTCTTAATGTCTCAGCTCAGCAAACGATCAAAGACTCTCTATCTCTAGGAAGCAAGTCCACCAAAACATCTGGAAAGGTGTTAGGGTTAACAGCACAACAACAGTTAAACTAGTTTGCTTTGCATTAGTTCCAAGGCCTATCTTTTTACTTTAGATTCCAAAAAAGGAGATAGATGGCAGATTGACACCATACTTCAATTTCACAATGGATAATGGAACACCATGTGACATAAAACACAACAAGCCTAGACGTGTTGACATCTTGTACATATGTCATGCAACTGCAAATAATGAGGTATAATATCTCTACCTAATGACTCTATTTGGAGAAATTTTTGTATCTGCTAGCTTCAAAAAGCTTTCTTGATTATGTAAAAACTTTTAATAGAAAGGTTTGATTAACAGCCACAATAAATGAATAAGTGCATCCTATTCAGTGTGAATTTGGGAATTTTGGAAAGAAGAAAATTTCTATCAATATAACCAAAGCTTTATGGAAATGATATTAATGACAAATATGTTTTGTAAAATCTAAGAGTGCAAAGTATTTGGAATTTTATGAATCTGCTCTGTTAGTGTTTTTCAGTTTCTTTTTTTCCTTTCTGTTCAAGGTATTTAGCGTTAAAGAGACAACAACCTGTGAATATGAGGTTATAATTTTGACACCAGAATTGTGTCACAACCCAGCCTATTTGTGAGTATTTGCTGATGATTAGTATTTTCTTTATTGATGATTAGACTGGCAAGGAGCCTAATCTATCTTATTTGCCCCAGGGCGGCCCTGGCTGGTTTATCATTATTTTTTAAACAATGAAGTACTACCAAACCATAAATGAGAATTCCATGTTGCAAGTACTGTATAAAAGCTCTTTTCTTACAGGATGAAAGACAATCCAGTTAATGGCATTCATTGTCTTCCTTTAGAAGGAGCACCAAGGTATTAAAATCTTTACCTTAAAAGTTTTATCATTAAAACATATAGAGGGCCTATCATAGGGGGTCTAAAAGCCTAAAAACCATGCAAAAATCAGCAAAAATCCACCATTGAAAAGTGTTTAAAGGCATGACTGCTATTGCAAAACATGTCATGGCACAAAAAGTAAATCACTCGATTAAAATAAAAGGATAATTCCTAGAAGTAACTTAGAAGTATCTTTTAAAAATAGGACATCTTTCCATTTTTTGTTACTTCCCTTTGAGGATGTCTGTACCTATTTTCTTTATAGTCGACCAAGTCGAATAGCTGACTCAAAAGAGAATTCGCTAGAAGAAGAAAACATTTCAGCTGAGGTGTGTATTTTAGATTCTTATTCACTTTATTCTTTTTTATTTTGCAGGAAGAATGACATCAATTAATCGACCTAGAAATTTACAAATTATTATTTGATGATTTCTAGAACCCCGAATTATTTGTACATAAATAGTAATTTGTTTCTCCTTGATATATTTCTCATAGATAAAGCATACAACATGGATGTCTGACTCGACACCAGAATCTGTAAAAAATGAAGATTCTGGGGAAAGAGAAAAACAGAGTGTGGAACAGAAATCACCTGTGGAGAAAAGGAAAAAAGCCACAACATCTGATGACCAACTAACCAAGGACTTTTTGAGTGGTGAATATTGTCTTCAAGGGGTGAGTGAAAAACCCATCAGTAGTACAGAAATGTAAAAGAAAACAAGTCAAAACATTTTAAATTTGTATCAAACACTCCCTACTAACCTCCAACTAAAAAAGGCACTTAGTTGAAGCTTGATTGGGTATTCTCTGATTTGACATTATGTCAAAAGTTTGGTCCAATTACCTCAACTCCATTTTCTTATGAAAACAATATAAATGTACTGTTTTAGCCTTCTGTTACTATAACTTTGATATGAAAACAGATTAACTGGAACAGACAATGGAAAAATGAAAAAATGAAAAATGGATACTGCAAATCCTGAAATAAGCACCTTGGATTCTCATTAAATTTTCAACAGTTGAAGGGTGGGGGGCTCCTTTGATAAGGCTGCTCGCTCCTTTGAGCAGGGTGCTTCTTCAAGTGGGGCACTCCTTTAAGGAGAGCATTTATGCGAGTGGGATGCTCATGCAATCAGGGTGCTCATTTGCTTGTTTCATTATTTCAAGGGGCTGCTCATTAGTTTTTAATAATTTCTACAGATCATATGGTGTAAAAAGAAAATTGCAGGTGCTTACTTTAGGGATGGGGCACTCAGTGAGGGGGCACTCAATAAATTTTTTTTATTTGGGACTTGCTCATTCGAGCAGGGCACTCTTTCAAAGAGGGTCCTCATTTCAGGACTTATATGAAAAAAGATATGTATATGAAAATAAATGAATACACTTGCATTCTAGCTGATTGATCAAGCATCTTAGAGTTAATGATTTTTTAGGGCAGTGGCTGGTGGTTATATGAATTTTGCTATGGAAAATATGTGCAGCAATTTCATCAGGTTTGACAGAGTCCTATTTCAGCATTTATTTCATGAATTTTGATTAAATTTGAAGAATTGATAATACATTATTTTTCAATTGCAACTTTACCATATAGTGATTTATTTGAATTAGAATGTTATTTATATCTATCAAAGTAATAATATTTTAAATTTATTAAAAAACTTGCTAAATTCTAACATCTAACATTCGTAACGAAAAAATTCTAACATTCGTCTGCATGATTGACTTCAGAATTGAGAATTTCTTCGAGCAGCTAACAGTGCCTTTTCATTCCAAACTTGAATTCCCTCATCATAACGCAGTACCAGCCAACACATATCCTTCCTACATTTCATTAGCCTCGAATTTTCATATACCTTGGATCAAAGGCTACATAGATCTCCTCGAATAGTAACTGAACAAGATGAACTTTCGTGCGTGATTTGCATTCAAGGAATAAAACATGGTGTTTGTGACATCACACGCACTGGGTCAGATGAAATGCAGACAATGGTCAAGCAGTTGATGATAATTTCATGATATTTAAAGCGATATTGCGTCCAAATGGACAATCATAATTAACCGAAAACTTGAAACTGAGATTCCTTGCATCATTTTCTGCATTATATCAAAAAACAGTTTTGCGTGTCAGTTCACCTCTAACTGCAAACCAAAAATGATGGCCATTTTCCCTCAGTCTGGCAAAATGCACAGCTCGTTTGGCAAGATGACAAGAATATTCAATGCCAGCTGTTTTAATCATTTGTTTTTAGACTGTAATTTAATTTCTAAAATATTATTCAGGAGCCATCAGGAAAAACAATGATTTATCTTGGATATTGGGACAAAAAGGTAATTGGTGGTTAAGCTACTCTAAATTTTTGTCATAATGTTTGTTAGATGCAGTGTTAGCAGAGCATTTGCTAATACTTTGCCAATATTTACTTTCAACTAAAAAGACTGATTGTAACTATAGTCTTATTTTGAATGGAAAAAATGTAAGTTCTTCTAATATTCTAATATCAATGTAAGCATGCTCCAATGCAATGGAACTCAACAAAGTAACCAAAAGGAAGAAAACATCCAGACCTTGTCTGATTTCAAGAGGGATACTTAGATTATGATTTAAATAGAGAGGCCAAGTCTTCCTTGTGTACATCTCTTTCAAATGTCAATGCGGTCTTATAGAGTTGAAAGGAAATGTCAAAAATTATTTTCTACACAGCACATATCTGCCTATCTATAAAAGTTCTTCATCTCTATAAGGTTCTTCCTATGATGCTATTCTTGATTTTGGGGCAGCTTGATTTCTAACACAGCGTTGCTCAATTTATAGAAACACGATGAATGGATTAAGACCAAAAAGAACTTTGCATCAAAATCGTAAGTATCATTTCCTGAGTGATTTCAGCTTGCCATGCTTCAGTACACAACAATCAAAGATGTTATGTCCAGGATAGCAGAAAAGATCAAAAGTAGAGTTCCTAAGCTCCAATTACTATTTTTCTAAATGAGGCCATTGAAAATACCACTGGGAAAATTTGCATATAAAGTATTTTGGATAGGAAGAACAGCCTTTGGGCATGATAACCTTGGATGACTTTCTCAACAAGAGAAACAAATTTCTGCACGAAAACAGAAGCAAAAATGTTCAAAATAAAAATATCACATGGTAATTACAAGTTCTTTATATTGAAAATTTTCTGGCTTTGTTTACAGGCATGTTACTCATTTGTACACAAATGGAGATGTGTGTGACTTGACAGGGAAACCAAGGAAAGCTCAAGTCAAACTGACGTATGTACCTTCATTTTATTACCTAGATTTAGGTTCACAAAACACAGCTAAAAACATGTAAGAGATGCATGTATGCATCACCAAAGATGAAAATGCGACCAGGGTGGAAGCTAGTATGCTAGAAGTTGTTCATGGCATAGGGGTGACAGGATCAGTTAAAAGAGAGAGCAATCGTGTACTTGGAAGTAATAGTTAAATAGGAAAGCTCGCAAAACCATGCCAAAAATCAGAATGAAATCAAGAAATGTCACATAATTACGTAACTGCAAATTGTTTTCTGTCTGAATGGAAAATAGCACCTGAATGGAAAATAGCACCGGAATGGAGCTATACCATACAAACTATGCTTTTGGAACCCTTCAAGCTTGTTTAGTTTCCTCTCATACCAATTGTCAGTCTGTCTACTAGCTGTTTTTTACTTATTGATTGATTAACTTGGCTTTTATTAAAAAAGATTCCAATTATCACACATTCTTATTATAGAGGTTTTTATTATCATGCATCTTGTGTTACAGGTGCCTAAAAGACAAGTTGGGTCAGCAGATATCAATTTACATGTTAGAACCAAAACCATGTGAATACATTGTAGGGGTATGTCTGATGTCTTTTGACTTTGCAGAGTTTAATATGGTTTAGGACTGTTGTCAGCCAGCTAAGGCTCACGATAAAACATGAGATTAACCACTTCTATACAGGTATAGGAGGACCACCATGGTTTGTGGGGCAGAGGGCTGTAGTCCAACTAAAGCTTCATTTTTGGAAATGGTTAGGGATAATGTCAAATGTGAAGTGGGGTATGGTTTTTATAATGCACAAAGATACCAGATTTATTCAATAACAGAGCAATTTTCAATTTTTATTAGCAATCTGATGGTGTTTAATTATCAAGGTTGCCTGTAAGATGGACAGTTGGAATAGGTCAGCCAATATAAAATTCTGTCAGACATGCTTTTTGGAATTAAAATATAAAATATGCCACTGCCTACAAAGTTACATAAAATAATCAACAACCTGCCCCATGAGCTTTTCTTTCAATTAACTCATCCCTTCTGTAATTAAAACAGCTCATGCAGTTATTCTTTCAATTTCAGATTGAGTCACCAATTCTGTGTCCATTCATTGAGTCTGCTGATGCACAAGGACTTTTTCAAGTTGAAATGAAGAAAGAAAGCGAATAGAACTTTTAATAGTTAGGTTTTGTGAACAATATTAAAATAAATTATGCTAATCTTCTTTGCTATAATGAGATCAAAATAGCACATATGAAGAATTATTTGGGTTTTCTACATCTCTGTTGTTCTTGAATAAGGCTTTCTGTGACTGATGATAGAGCATTTTAGAGTTCTGTCTGAAAGCATTACTGGAAGTTTTCGTCTGTCGACCAATATTATATGAATCTTTCATCATGTGATGAAATTCAACTGATACTCAAAAGTGTATTGAGCCAAAACGTAAAGTCTTAAATATTTCCACACTAATTTACAGTTACACAAGATATTTATTTTAGGTGCCTGATAAATAAAATATTAGGTGCTTATTAGTTACGATTTTTCGAAGTCTTGTAACTTAAAAATCAAGCAAACAAACAAATGGTAGTGAAAAATTTGCTGACATTGTAGCAGGTAAAAAATCATATTCCATTGCATCTCTTATTGTTCTCAAGCATTTCCTTGACATCCAACACCCCCATTTATCCAGTACTCCTTTCACCAAACCTATGAATGTTGTTGACAAAAAATTGGGTTTCCACAAGACACACAGACAGCCTATCCAGGGTGAAACATGAAAGAGGAAGTATTAATCAAAAGTGGCAAGGCTACACGTAACTAGAGAAAAGATGGCAAACAAAAAATGACTGATATTCTAGAGGTACAATGACATACAAAATCATACTCTATTATCTAAAAGGAGAAGATGATATGGGACTGGTTATACACCAATATTTACTATATACAACTGATTACAAAATATTTGATTAACAGATAAGCATTAAGTTATTATGTGCTAATATAATTTCCAACAAATCTAGAACTAGGTCGATATCTAAACGATAATTTCAACGTTACTTGAAAAAAATTGACGACGTCTACGACAGAGAAAACCTTTTGAATTGATACTATTTGCGAATATTGAATTGCTAGAGAGAAACAGCTGGCTTGAAAAGTGAAAACCATCTCTGAGACACAAGGAAACACTAACTATTTGGAGTGTCTACTGCTGCAAAATCGGAGTTAATGCCCAAGATCTCTAAGCTTTTTGAACACAAACGATAATCAATCCACTGACATATTTGGTTTAAGGTAAACAAACAGAAGAAAGTCAGGATGAAAGTGAATAACAAAGTTGTTTAGCAGAACTATACTGTATCAAATTTGATGACACGAATCGTGTCTGTTGTGTTTATAAACAAAAGCCATTTCTTGCAGAGGCTTCAACCTACACCAGCTTTACAAAATAACACGTCGATACCTTTCTTGACTCAGCTGGTTCCTTCAACCTATGACACTGGGTCAACAAAAAACGCAAAAGTTCACACGTTTAACCAGACACCGAAATTCATTACTTCTATCATTTAACTGTAATTCATAAGTATATATCAATTATTCGCCAAACACACAACGGTGAAATTACAGACGCCCAAAGACACAAACAGAACTTTACAAAATTATACGAAATGACAAACACACGATCAGTATAATGCAATAGACACGGACTAAGAAACTGCACATGCAACAAATACAGAGATAAATTCATTGTCCTTAATATGTACACAATTAGTGTTTCAAGTCTTGGCGATATATCATATGATAACTGTACAAAGAAACTTAGAAATCGATAATTAAAATATCGTTATAATTCGCTCGCTATTGAATATTATGATGTTTAAATGAAAGTAGTTTAAGATATTAAAGTACTTAAATATGGAAGTCATAAGGACTAGTTTCACGTACTTCTAAATCTTTTAGTGGGAATGTATTTGCTAGCTACAAGAATCCCATGGAAAACCCATTTATATCTTAGAGCAGAAAGCAATTTGATCTTCACTCCCAGCAAATCAGCGTTGAGTTGGAGTAAGGCCTTTTCTCTTGGCGCTAGTAAAAGGACAAGAGAAAAGCCCATGTGGCAGCCATGTCTGACTCATCTAGCGTGATGGAGCATGCTCTATTGGAATGAAGAAATTGAGCAGTCAAGATCTAATGAATGAAAATTTCAAGAGCTGAATCATAATCGGCAGAGGCCGGTTATTGTATGAATATTAACAGCATGAGCAAGCTTTAGAAACAGTGTCGTTTCAAAGGAAATACATGAAGATTCACTCTGGGCATTTCAACTCAAAAAATTGCATCGAAAAATCGAACAGAAAGAGAGTGTTTCTGGATTTTCCATATACCAAGCTGATCAAGTTATGTTTCTTGAGAAAAAAACGCCCCCTACTCACATAAGGAACGAAAATCATTTGATGAAATCTATTGTTATCCGGAAGAAATTTGTCCACCAAACTGTTGCGACGAGAGCGTTCCGCAAGAACCGTTTGTTCCACGTAAAATGTTTGCTCCGAAAGAGCCGTTTGTTCCGAAAAAACCGCTTGTTATGCAAGATCCGTTTGTTCTGCATGAAATGTTTGCTCCGAAAAACCCGCTTGTTATGCAAGAACCGTTTGTTCCGCAAGAACCATTTGTTACACATGAACCATTTGTTTTGAATGGAATGTTTGCTCTGCAAGAACTGTTGGTTACGCAAGAACCATTTGCTCTCATCAAATGTTTTATGTGCAAGAACTGCTTTCATATTTATATTGTTCAGAATGTAAAAAACAATCGAACTATTCTTAAGAGGGAGGTACTAATAAGAAGCGGTGCTGTGATTTCCCTTATTGGCGACTCCAAAGTTTCCTTGATGGACAACTTTATATTCCACTAGAACCGTTTGTTCTACAAAGAACGCTTTTCCTCAGCTTGCAATGGCTTCTTGGCAAAAATATACGAAAATAGGCGCAAAAAACCATGGAAAACACCCTGTATAACACGCTTGGTATAACAAATTGTTCTCTTGCTATGTAAAGTGTTGAATCATGTGCAACATTATTTTATTTACATTGAATTGTTTATCAGGAAAAGCATTATTCATTTGGAAAGTGATAATGAAATGACACACACCTAGGAAGACACTAAGGTCTAGTAGCGCTGTAAGGCTGTGGCTAGGGGTTCTCTTTCTATTAAATATGTTCGAACTACATTACGGAATGACTACTTAATGGAATGATATACCATTAGAAATTAGGTGTGCAAAAGCCATGCATCGTTTCAAATCAATGCTTAAACACTTTTTAGACTAGGATATTAGACTAACACTTTATGTGTCTAAAGGTAGTCACTGCAATTTTACTTTTTCACTGCCAAATCTCTTGTTTTTTAGTTTTTTCACTGCACAGAATTTAAGTTTATCACTGCACAATTACGATTAATCACTGCACAAATTGAAAAAATTAAAAAAAAGCAAAAATACCGTTAGATTTGTCATCTCGTGAGAAAATTCGCCCATCGATTTCGGCTGTAGACAATTCTGAAGAGGCAAAAAAAAGCTGAATAAGTCAAAAGAAAAACGATAGAATAAAAAAACACAAATTACGATAAAATAGAATAAACTCAAGGATAGAATAAATTTTAAACCTATCAAATCACATCAGATCAAATCAGACCAATCAAATGAATTTGCATTTGTGTGTATTTGAAGCATTCCCATAAAACAATTCTTTGACTTAAAATACATGTTAAATTTCAAGAAGTGTTCCTTTAACCTATCTTTATTTATCTAACTTGTGGTTTTTCAAAACAAAAACAAACAAGCTTGATCTTTTCTTTTTCTAATCACCCTCCCCCCTTCCCTCGTTAGGGTTTAGTCAAGGGTTGTTGAGCCTTCACCTAGCACTACCAACTAAGAAACAAATTGACGGCAAACGATAACAAAACATTGTGACATCACAATGTCCATGATAAATCTGCCTTCTTCTCAATTTTTTCTTGGAAAATCACCGGTTTTTTATCTTATCGCGTTATAAACAACGGAGATTCTGCGAATTAAGCACCAGAAATTATCATTCTTAGTCAAAATATATTTTGACTGGGGAGACACATTGAGCAAATCAAACTATCAGGGACATTCATTTAAATGAATGAGAGCATTGTATGGGATTTGTAGAAATCATAAATCGCACTACAAGAGAAATACTGACAAATATTTTTCTTTGAAATTCTTAAGAGCTGCAAAAAAGGGAATGTTTATACATTTGTTTACACTTCATATGAATATCTACATATTTGCCTGAACCAGTGACAAATATGAGTGGAATTAGGGATGTACCGGATATCCGGTGGGCCGGATAATCCGGCGCCGGATCGCTGATTTTTTGAAAATCCGGCTCCGGCCGGTTTTTTTTCCGAAATCCGGCCAGCTGCCGAACTAAACAAGATCGACGATAAAACAAGCGCCTTGAAAACAGATTTGAAATGGAAGTGCTCGTCATCACGAAACAGGATGATATAATTCACAAATTTGGTCCAGGGTTGCCAGATTGGCTTTTTAGGCCAAATTTTTCATTTTTGGCTTTTAGATTTAGATTGCTTGGAAAAATTGTCTTTTGCTTACTACATAAATTTGACCTTGTTGGCCTTTTCAGCAGAACGTCTGAAATTAATGAGTAATTACTACATTCATAGAATAATTAGTAGTTAACTACAAAGTGTTAACCAAATTTCAAATTTTATCACCTAACCTAAATATTATCTTGATATTAGCAAAGGGTTTTGGAAAAAAGTAAGATTCTTATCAAAGTTAAGAAATTATCTAACAGGCACAAGCGTAGAAATATAACCCGTGCCTGCTCGATGGATTCATGAGAAAGTTTTTGATTTAGCCTTTTTATGAGCATTTTGGCTTAAATTGCTCACCAGTCTAGCCTTCGTTTGTAAATTCAATCTGGCAACCCTGAATGGGTCTCTTTGATCTTCCCGCTATACATTTTTCACAAAGTGGCTAAAAACTTGTTATTACTGAAAAATCCATAAATGGCCAGGTTATCCGGTTAAATCCGGCCGGATATTCCACGAAAAAATCCGGTAAATCCAGTTCCGGCCGGATTCTGAAAATCCTGATCCGGTACACCCCTAAGCGGAATTGATAAGTCAAAAATCAGACCTCGTTACTGCCGCTCTGTTCGTTGCTAACTGCTGGTGACGAAAGTGTATCAGAAAATTCGAACACGTCATCAGGATCAAGAGCAGGGGGAGGCGAGAGGCACTGAGGTATATCTAAATCTTCAGGACATATGCATTGGTCCAATTCAAGTTCTGACTTCCGTCGTCGCAAAGTACCAAATGGCCCCTTCTTGCGAAGCTAGAAACATAGAATAAGATATAATTAAAAGGGCAAAGGGAATACACAATCTATATATCAGATAAAAATAAAGGCCATTTGCTTGACAGCAAGGACAATTGTTTTCAAAATAAAGTCGGAAAATGAAACTGTAAGGTAGAAGTAGCAGTGATGTAAGCCTATCAAAGGCTACATACGAAAACAATGATTCCGTTTTTTATATTATCAAAAAGATGTGAACAGGATTTTAAAGACTTCACAGAACACAAGTTAAGAAAGTGGTCTCTAAAGAACGAGAACCTCACTGGAAAAAGCAGAAGCCGAAGAAATAAAAGTTCTCAAAGAAAAGGAAAAGTCCCAGGGAAATCGAAAATATTCCTCTGGCGAGGGAAAGATTCCCGTGGAAAGGAAAAGACCATGAGTAGAAAGTAAATGATCCCGGATGTAAGGAAAGGCCACGAGGGGAAAAAAGAACCGAAAAGCAAGGAATGTACTTGAATAAGAGGCAAAGAAAAGAAGAGAAAAGGAAGTAACTGGAAGGGAATGGAAAGGCAAGGAGAGGCCTGTAAGAAACAAACCTTGTGTTTTTCTGATGAATTGAGAGGAATGAAATCAGGCGATTTTGCAGTCATATGTTTTTGCTTGAGGCAGCTTTCAGTGAGTAGTGTTTCGAACTGGGATTGCAAATGTCTCCTAAGCAGCGTCTTGCTCTGTGAGATTGCTAATAGATTCGCTAGCGTCTCTGCGTTGAATCTTGGCTCAAGTATCTACGAAGTGAGTAGAAAAAAATCTCTGTTGCGTTTAATTCATTTAAAGGGATTGAGTCATGATAAAAGGAGTGGGTATACACAAACGTGCCAAATCAGCTGTGTCATGATTTTCGTGCTGCAATGCTATTGGTTGACCTGGTACTGGTCACATGAACTAACCTAGTACTGATTAACGAAACAGTTTCCATCAATAGCAAGATGTCAACAACGGATGCCGATATCACATGAAACTGCAGCAATCACGCCTAAACCAAGCGACTCCTTAAAGAAAAGGTCTATTTGCCATGACTCAACGCCTTTAGGCTGCGCTTATAATTCAGTCTAGAATTCAACTAAAATTATCAATATTGAGAAACGTTCGATTCACAGAAAATAGACACAAGAATGAAGTTCAAAATCAGCCCTGGCAAAAACAGTAACGGGGCACAAATCAGCATCTTTTCTCGATGCGCTAAATCATCAACTATACACAATTTATGGAAAACTCTTGATCATTCATGTCTATCTCATTCAAATTATTGTTATGTTTAGGTGTCTATAAAAGCTTAGTAATTAAACATTGTGACTCTGTTGCAATATATGAAAAACTGAATGGATGAAAGGGAAAACTGTAGCTTAAACCAGATGAATGGCTCTCTATCAAAATCTTTACAAACATTATAATCAAAACCCAAATAGATTTTCGCAAGTCACTTTGAGCAACAAAATTTGAAAACACGCTTACCATCAGGGCTCCATGTACTCCACTGCCTCTTAGATTTGGAGCGTATTCTGCGAGGTCAACAGACCGTAGCCAATCCATCACCCGGCTGTTTGTCCATAACATAACATGATTGCATCTGTCGTCATTCTAACACAAGCAAAATAACTGGATATGAGTATAGAAGAACTCATTTTGAGAGTTGAGCCCAAATCTTACAGGGAATAAATATCTGAGCCCTTTAAGCTATTTAATAAAAATCAGCTTGTTTATGGTTCATTTCCAAATGAACTCGAGTAACGCAAGAAAGATGCCAGAAACCAGTTGCAATTACCATGGCTCAGTTACATTCATATGAAAGCTGCATATCCCCGTGGTTGGTTGAGGAGTTGCATTTATTTGGAAATTTCAATGCAACATTAAATTCTTCCAGAAGAGCCAGTCAGTTTGGTTTATACCATCGTTCTGATTTAGGAAGTCTCGGTCTATTTTCTCGCTTCGTTATGTTAAGTCCTATTTTGTGTTCATCACTAAAAATGCATGAAAAATTAAATAAAGCAGCCAAAATATCTTGAATCAAATAAAGAGTACGACGTTACTATTAACTATGAATGTACCATAAAAGGGATAGGATTATTTGAGGGGCAACAATTGCAACAGAAGGGTTTGGAGGGGCATAAGACCCCTCCCCTATGGACAATAGGAGCTATGATGTATAAACAAAGTCGAAAATACCTGTGGCGTAAGACATGGTTTTAGATAATTCGGATGAAACTGTTGATGCCTAGCGAAAAAAATCAATTATTTTTAAAAGCAAATAATCTCATATCTTAATTTAATGCTATTTAGTCATATATCATGTCGTCATTGTCAAGTAGTCTCCCAAGCATGAATTCATTTGTAGCAGTAATTAAGGATAAATAAATAGTTCTTCAAATTGTATATAGGTTATAGGCCATCTAAGTCTCAATTCCTTTAAAACAAAAAGAGACATGAAATAAAACTACCACGAAAAATGAGCATCACTGCACGTTATTTTCTTCAATGAAATGTTTTGAAAAATAAGTAACTAACAACTAATAAAGGATAATACGACAGGCCTGAGTCGGTGGACGGCAGAAAATATTAATTCAACAAAAAGAGGAAATTCAGAGCGCCACAAAAGACAGAACTCATTGGAGATCGAGTGTTGCTAAAGTTTTTAGATAATATGGCACCTAGAGAGAGACATGATAAATTTGGACTTGATAAAATGTTCACGCAATCTTAAACAAATCTTAAACAAAGTTCACGCAGAGATAGTGACAAACAGGTAGATGGCTATTAATTTAAAGGCTACATAATTAAATTACAAGGCTACGCTTAGTTCCCGTTCTAAGTAGGCGTTGAGAAAAGAATTGGCCACGGAGCCTGTAACCCAATACGGAAAAATTCAATCCAATATAGGACAATTGCTATCAACTTTCAAAAATTCAAGGCTACTAGCTTTCAAAATATAACAGCAAACCCACTGATAGCATTAAATAAATGAAAGAGTTTGACATGTTAGAAACACAGTTTGTAAACATGTATAAAAAACTAATTGGTATGGATATAATAAAACAAGCAATTACATCTACCTCAGACACTGTATAGCTCTTTTTAAGCTAACATGGTGCAGCGTGTTGTATACTTTGAGGTGAAACAGGTCGTCCTGCAAAAAGGAGGTTTTGATTATTCTACTTCGTTAGCCAGATATAGCTGAAGTGTACTAGTCCAAAGACAATTTATGGAACAGAACAACTGATCCAGGTCAGGCAGCCTGAACATCCATAAAGGTGCAGTTGAAGTTGCCTTTTTAAGATGAGAGGCTGAAAACACAAGGGTGCAGTTGGCGGCAGATGCCTTGTGTGGGTACTTGAGGTATAATTATTTGACCAATTATTCTATAAAAAATTTGTGCCTAATTGGATTGCCCAGAAACAACCTGTATAGCAGAAATAATCAAATAAACATATAAAGTGAAATCTCAGCACACATCGATGGCAACAGATGCCTTCAAGTTGTGCGGCAACATCTCGGAATGAATCTAGGGACGCATCAATGTGGGTGGGGGGGGGTTAGTTAGTAACAAAATAAGACAGGGATACTCTATAGACAGGACTTTGTCAATAAATGCTAATCAAGTGAATTTTTCTGATTCAATTTCACGAGTAATGTTGTAGAATTTGATTACACAATGGGTTCTTATATTACTTGAACATATATATTCTGAATCCAGAAATTTTATGATCCGCTGACAGCGCGGATACCCAGTAATTAACAACTGGTGCTTCTCAGTTTTGGTATGCAATGCAAACAAAACAAGAGACATAACTGTCGTGAATCTTTTTGGCTGTTCATTAGATGAATACTTTCGATATAAATCCCCATAAAACTACATTGCTGAAGAAGTAGTAAGAAATAATTTGAGGCTGAAAGATCTGAGCAATATACAAATTTACTAATTCTAGGCAAATTCAGACAAATTCAGGCTTAAAGGGCATATGTCGCATTAACAGTTAAAAAAGATAATTGAACTGCATTAGCCAATCATGTACACGACACATGCCCTTTAGGGACGAGGCGAGACTTTCGCTGTCAAAACAATGCTGTCGGCCATCTGATTATAAAACACAGATGTCTAACAGTGTTTGAGGGTATTATCAAGTTGAAAAAAACAAGATAAGTTCTGGACAAAACAGATAAAACTTAAACAAATCAAAGATAGGAGTGACTTTCCAAGTTTTACACGTAGATCAGTCCAGAATTAATTAGCAGATACTTAAAAGTATGATTTAGATTAAAGGCATAAAAGAAACCGATTCGGATAGAAACGAGAACACATTTTTAAGTCAAAATCGAGTTAAAACTTACAAGCGTCAAATTCTGTAAGATACGTCCGTCGACCCTATTTTCGTAGAAAATGCCTTTATACTGCGGAAGGCCAATATCATCAAGCCATCCTAAACATGAAACAAACAGGCAAATTGAGGCTTAATGATTAGCTTTAACTAGCTAACTAGATAAAAAGATGACAAACTGCAATTTGAATAGACATAAATGCATTTGCTGTTTTTGTCAAAAGATAAATCGAAAGAAACTTCCACGTCAATTTTTAAAAATCTAGGCCATCGCGAATTCTCTTCTATGAAAAACAGAGCCATTCACATATTGCCTTCATCTTTTCTTCCTAGCTCCAGCAATGCAATGTCACAAATAATCATTCTTATAGTTTGGATTTTTCTAAATGCAGTCGATTGAAAGCAGACAAACAAAATTAGAGGGAAATTGTTGACGCTGGTGGAATACAAATTCAAACATACTTGCGACCCAGTTGTGATCAAGTCTTCCAGGATAGTCTGGTTCCAATGACTGTAAAGACTAAACAATAAAAGATGCTTTTCGTCAATAAGAATTAAAAGAATTTTAACAAACTATTTATAATATAACGTACGCAAAAGAGTACAGCAAGAAGGAACTTTACTGCAAATCAAATGAAAAATTCTCAAATTTTGTAGCCGTTAAGAGCCCATAAAATCATGCTATTATTATTCAATACTATTTCAAAAATCTTTACAAACGACAGTTCATCAGTTGTAAAAATACCTACAGGTACATGTAGCATTTGCAGTATTACCTTAGAAAACTTGATGACTTAAATTAACATTAGAAGATATTATTGTTTAAGTAGTTTCAAACCGTTAAAAGAAAGTTATTTTTAAATGAATACATATATATTGGAGCTCAATACAAATATTTCAATTTTTTTATGAAATTCATATTTACAAATTTTTTGAACTGATGATTATAAACGTGGGTTTGTCAATCGATGCTTTATAAAACATAACTCCAAACAGCTATTATATATTAAATACAAATACCTTAGTTCTAGCAAAACTTGAAAATTACGACATTCGTGTAAATGAGTTAAAATATCACACCTTTAGTGCAAGTGTTAGTTTCTTTTGATGGATGTGTAAAGATATTCCTAATTCTTTTTCAATTTCTTGATTATTCATTTTGAAGACATCATCTCCCCTGGCAATCGCTTTTGTAAACGCTGGTATGTATGCTGCCAGTCCCTCTTCTTCTAACCAATCATTTATCTGCTCCATGGTCCACGTGGCGAAAGAGTTGCCCAGAACATTTCTTGAAGAAAAATTGAGATCATTGAAAGCAAGGAAGATTTCTTCACGATAAAATGATTATGGCTGTACAGTACAGTAAAAACCCGCGTATAAAAACCTGGATTTTAAGAGCGTGTTAGGTTAAAATTTCAAGTTTAGGCCTCCCCAACATAAGAACCTTTTCAGGCTAAAATTTCAGAATCGGGTTCTTAACAGTGGAGCTACTGTAAAGGTTTCTAAGTGGAAAATGTTAAATAAAATATTATTATCTGCTCATATCTAAAATCAACTTGGCAAAACAATTCACAAGAAGCCAAAGTACACTAATACTGTGTATATTTCTATTATTCAAATATTAAGGCAAGTTTCTATAATTCAAATAAATTCTTTTATTACTCAGCATTTGCAAAGTACAAAATTTAAATTTTCATTTATTCCAAGATTTGCACACATGAAACTTGCCTTTTAAATAAAATTTCAGCGATTTTGCTATGAGTTCGTTTTAGTATATACTTGTTTTGTTAAAATTGTACTGTATTTAGGTATAATATTACAGCATTATATGAAAAATATGATTTTGCTACAAAAATAGAGGAACCTATTTAAAGAACCTTGGTAACCTAAATTCACTTTAAGTACCATTCATGAAAGAGAACCTGTTTAGGCAAATTGGAAAAAACCAGGTTGTTATGTGCGGGTTTTTATTGTATTACAGGTTCATAGACATATGTTGAGAGAGAAAAACAACAAGTCTTAAAAGTATTACGGAAATTTGTTCTACTTTGGTTTGCTCCAATGACAAACTCTCTCCATAAATTCTTTATCGGCGTATAATATTCATTCTAGCAAAACTCCATGATTTTCAAATTCTGACGCAACTCTGTCGTCTGAGCACTACGTGAATACCTTGCTAAACACCATTTTCTGTCCCTACTTCCAAATAAGGGAATTAGTTTATCAAACCAACCTTCTTTGTTCCACTGGGAAGCTTCTACCATTTGAATTGTTAGCCTGCAAAATATTTAGTCATCGTAAATTTATCATCGTACTAAAAGGGAACCCAAGCCGGCTACTTTTACAAAAAGCCAAACAGAAAGTCAGCTCTGGTGATAAAAAGAAAGTCGATATAAAATATGGAAGTGGTAATGATTTAATCACAGAGTCAGGAGCCTTTTACAAGTCACTTGATTATGCACTTCGCAGACAAAACGGCTATTTCAAAAAGAAATTTACTAAGGGAGCTTAAAATGAAAACAATTGAACGGCTGACGCGAAGACAAAGTCTTTACAAGCAGTATAATTTGTTGTTTTCTAGAAGCAAATTTAGTATGATCTTAATCGGAGCCAAACCATAGGCAAAATGGCCTCAAAATAAGTACCGATGTGTGCTTGTTACTTAGCAGAAAGATCTTTAAAAACCATTTCACGCAAAATTGTATTCGACATGTGGTCGAAAGGGCAGAAAATTCTTCGAGCGCGGAATAATAAACATTGAAGCAAAATGGTTGGCCTCCTAATTATCGAGTTCGTGGCAGGCTTCTAAAGTCAATCAAACTTTTACTTCATTTTAAACACGGGACCAGACACTCAAAAGAGAAATTAAAAGCAAAATTTCGTAGATTGCCGTTGCAAATATAAAATCATAAAGGAATTAAATTTTCAATCTTCTGTTCAACCTGATTCCTTTCGTAAAAAAAATTCTTTGGAAATATTTTTGAAAAAAACACGTTCACGTACGACGCAAATAATACAAGAACAAAATCTGCCCTTTTTATAGTTAAAATTGTCGCCCCAATTTCAGCAAAACAAATTGTTGACATATTCACTATACAGATATATCTGAAGACTGGCGCAAGCAGAAAAAGGAAAGAGAAGAAAATATTTACGTAGCAGAGGGTAGTTTCGATCTACCGACCTCTGGGTTATGGGCCCAGCACGCTTCCACTGCGCCACTCTGCTGAATGCCTGCAAGCGCGGTATTTTTAAATGTATCGTGCGCACCTGCCTGATGCAACTAACACTATTTTCTTATTACCTGCGCTGATATTAGCGGCGCAGAAATAAAACGAAATGTGGAATCTATTAGTTTCAAAACTATTAGTTTTTTAAATCTTTTAGTTTCAAATCTATTAGTTACCAATATTTAATCAATTCGGAGGAAAGACTTTCTAGCTTTGTACTCTTTCCATACCCATCGAGAATAAAAGGTCTTAATCTCAAAGCAAAAATAACAACGAACTTACGATGGCAGAGTTTGCAGGTATTCCAACATTTTTGACATAGTTTCGTGCTAAAAACGAAAACATATAAATAAATATAAAAAAATCATCAACATTCCCGTTCAACTGAGCAAGGACCTATTCAATATGCTTTTCCGTAAAGAATTCTGATGATGCAGATTTCCTGAATGAGGATGAAACTAAGGACCGTGGAATGTTGATTCAAACATGGAACTTTTCATGCACTTGGTAAGGCCGTTTAGAGCGGCACATGATTATTTCGACGTTTAAACAGGGCCTCATGCGAATGATTACTTACAGTGTGATAAGCAAAAACCTTTGAGGATACAGATGGGGTCTACACTCTAACTTAAGTCAAAAGCTCATGAAATCTCTACTTTCAATTATCACTGACAGAGGCAAACTATAATAGAAAGAAATTGAGTTAAGCTTACTTAAATTTGGTTCACTGGTGCTTCTTGTGTTTTGGAAGACACTGTCGCTATCAAGGCCATCTTCTGATTTCTGATCTTCAATGCCATTCATGACTGCATGGTTTTCATTGAATGATTTCTCAAACTTTGATGCTGTAAAAATGAATGTCATTGTCTAAGATCATCAGACAGATTTTCGTAATTACAGCATTCCAAAAACCACAAGTTCTATATAAAGTCAAAGTTTGAAATGTTTAAATAGAATTACAGTTGAATCTTATACAAAATTTCTACTCTGCCAAAAAAGAAAGCTCATAATAAAAAGAACTCGCAGTAGAAGAACATTTATTGTTATAACCGAATCATGGTTGCTCAGCTTTTTGAAGGTTTTTTAAAGGCATTCAGCCATGGTGAAAAGGCATCCTCTGCAGATGGTTATTTGTTCTTAGTGGAGTCAATAAAATTTCATGTGTTTTTATGTGAAAAATGACACTTTACGGATTATGTTTAAAATCAGAGCAAGGTGATTTCATGCGATCGTTTCAAGTCTACCAACAATAATGAAGAACGAAATCATGACTCAACATGTTTGAGTATAACCTCTCCCTTTAATCGTAACTCAATGCTTAAATTAGTTTTTACATTAAACAGTTGCTATAAAACATTGATTGAAGCAAAAATGTATTATCAGATTAGTATGGAGTATAGCACATAATCTGAAGCTATAAATTACTTCCATGCTGTAATTTCAAAAGCAAGGAGCATGTTAAGCAAACACACTCTAGCGTACTGCTTGATCACATGATTTATGATCCCCTTTCTTTAGCCTTTCCGTACTTAAAGTTTTTTTCGCCTGTATTTTTTTATAATGAAGATGACTCTAGCTAGAGTCGAAACGTTAATTATAATAGACTTGTCTTTTTAAAGGATTTGTAATTGTCGATGTAACATTATGCCTTTTTTGTCGTGGTACTTATTACACAAAAAAAGCAAATCGAAGTGTTAAAAGGGTTTCGCAAGTAAAGCACAAAAACGAGCACCATTTTACGTTTCACAAGAAAAACCATAGAATGGTTATGGTTCCCTATGGTGGACATCAGACTTCTCACAAATATCACGGATGGGAAGTCTGATGTCCACCATAGCTGTGAAAGGAAATACCAATACAATACGTTTTGAAAACTGTGAAAGGAAATACCAATACTTTTTGTACACAAATTCTGTGAATTTGCCAAAGCAAAATGACTCCTGAAAAGCCAAAACTGTTCAACGGGATCACAACAAGTAAATTGAAATTTCTGCAACTATTTTTTCAAGATTATTTCGAGGGAAAGTGGGTTATGTCACTGAACATATGCAGTTTTTTGCGCTTTGCTGTAAAATATTTGGCTGAATATTTAGTTGTCGGGAGTTTAAAGCAAAGGAAGGTTTTTGGAGCTTTGAGCTCTTACAGAAATATCTACGAAACGGACCTTTGCACAAAGACCAAAACAAATTTGGGAAGAAGGAAGTCCATACACAGCCTTTTAAGTTTTTAGCTTTCCTCTGCCAGTACATTTTCACTACTAGGCTACAGATTACAGACCACGAAGGGCTAATGAAAGGTAACTTGGAACAACACTACATTAGATCGTCCTATAGCTTTGATTACAAACCTTGAGATGCTTCTAAAGACGTCTTCAAATAATCGTTTTCCTGCAATGTACCAAATAAAATTAATATATTGAAGTGGAACTCACGAATTGTTAGAAAGATCTTGGAAGTCAAGAAAGTTGTTTTAAAAAATGGTCTCAAAGAAAATCTCATTTAAAAAAGACTTGTTTTGGTTTTACGAAAAAACACCAGAAAGCATTTGGCACAAGCATAAAGTTTAAGGGGCAGACTTGAAGAAGAAGAAATCAAATACAATTAAGATACTAGGAACTTTTATTATCATCTTGAAGTAGCATAACACGTCAAAATTTCGCTAGAAGCGTATTCTTGAATATATTCATTGTAATTCATTTCAAATCCATCTATTTATGGTTGGATTTTCAGGAAAAACTGCTTATCAAGTACAGTAGTAAGATACCAAAATAAACATTAACCAAAGGAATTTTAAGGAAATCTGTCACGACGTTGATTGATTATAAGAACAAGGGGATTATTTATTGTTTCCAGTCCCCCTTTAATTTATCGCATTGTGAAAAGTATGGCGGAGCGCTGGAATTGTGTTTAGGCTATTGTTCCAGCTATTGTTCTCGTTAACCAATCCACAACGAGACAGATTGCCTTTAATTGAAAAGACTTGAAGCGTTTTAGAAAATGATGACGTGCAAACAGAGAAAATCAAAACTACAGCTCCATAGTCTTAGAATGCTCGCTGTCTGTCAAATGTTTTCATTAGAGGGACTATGAGATAAACAGCTGCAACTACATGTTTTACCTCATTTGATAGCTTCAAGCCATAAGGCGAGTTTAAATGTACCATTGAAACGCTCAGAAATGTTAAAAAGGAGCCTTTGAGACGGCAATATATGATAACCTATCAACGAATCAACCAATGACTACTTGTTATCCTCTATCTTGGACTAATTTTACATTTCAAGTTGCTTTTTATAAACATACTGTAAAATTTCCGCACTTCATTCAAAAATACTGTTCAAAACAAGAAAATTTCAGCATTTTGAACTGAACCTCAACGGCCGATAAACCATTCTATGAATTTAAAATACACTGTTAAGAAAATCTCAGTGCTTTTAGCACCACCTAGTGGTTTATCAGAATTACCTCTCGCAGCCTCTCGATTTCAATTTGAATTCGCGACAATGCATTATCCTTTTCCTCATGAGATAACTTTAGATCATCGACAATAAGCTTAAGTCGGTTAACCTCTGAGGCTAAAAAAGAAAGTTTCAGTTTAAACACAAGATAAAATTTGAAGATAAGCACAATAAAAAATTCAGAAGCGTGTTCCAACAGATTAAAGCAAACTTTATTTGCGGTTATGCTTTTCGTTTCACTGAAGATCGTGATGTAGACTATTCAAATCAGTCCGTTTAGGCTCCTAAAGATGATGTAAATAAATAAATAACTTTCTTACTATACATTATTTCGGATACTTTCCGATCTTTAATACTCCAATGTTACAAACATAATCCATTCATGATGAGATTATAAATTTTCCTTTGATTAAAATTTATTTCTAACTCAGTTCAAGTCATCAAAATTAATTGGTAGGTATTTCAATAGTATTCAAAAACAAATATCTAGATGAATAAAGCAACGAACCTTTTTCGCGGAGCCGCTTCTTCAAACCGATAGCGCTTTCATCTGAAATATTTCGGTAATAAGAAAATTAGCACGAAAAAAATCATGGCAACAAAAATAACGACAGAAGATAGGACACAAATTCTAATCAACTTGCATTTTACCCTGCTCCTCCGGAAGGGTAACCAAGCCGGGCCATGGACAAGTATGATGAAAATGGCTTTGAAAAAAGCAAAAATTTTGAAACATACTTAGGCTTTCGTCTGACACTCTTCAGAGTATAGTACGTCAGAACTGTTGTGGTAGTTTTGTTATTTTATTGTTATTGACATGCAGTTACATAGTTGTATGTCATTCATGTGATTGGTTGTAATTAATAGTATCCTACTGTTTAGTTGTATTTAACACGAGTTCATATTTTAGAGGAGGATTTTTGAGAGGTATTCAGGAAGCGTTTTAAAGTGGATTTCAAGAAGGTTTTAATGGTGTTTATATAATCATTCCAAATAGTTACGCATTCATTAAGTATTGTCATTAAGTATTGCTGAATTGATTTTGTAAATATTTGATTGAAACAATGGCGTCTCCTCTTGAATCCAGCCTACCATAGCTGACACACAAATGAACTTAACATAACAAAACATAACAGAACATAGATTGAAGAACTTTAGTATGTTTCAAAATGTTCGCCTTTTTAGAAGGCATTTTAAACTCTGTACCATAATAAGATTGTTTATATGTTATGTCGACTGATCGATATGGAAATTAACAAAACAGCGGTAACAGCTTGATAAAATAAAATAGCGACAGAACATGGAAAAAACAGCGAACTCTGTTTTGAACAAGCATGAACAAGCAATTTTTATTTTCACTCTTCGCAATTTTCGAAAGAGGCTCTCTTTCTTGAAATGAATTTTAAGAAATTTTTTATGACAACTTATAACTTGATTGATTGAAGAAGAAATATTATTATTCAGTAGAATGTAAGGTCATGTTGGTAATTTTGAGTTAAAGGCATAGAAAAGGCAAATCAAAAGCTCCTGCCATAAAGGAACCATCCTTTAAGAATCCCATCAAACTGACTGCTATGATTACTGACCATGGAAACCATACCCAGTCTCTAGGTGTGATATCCATATAAATAAAAAATATTTTAAATCACCTTGCGTAGTTGACTTTTTGTCATGTGCTTCAGCTGTTGTTTTTAATTCAGCACCCTGGAAGAGAAAATTTTATGAAAATAAATAAATATGAGCCATTTCACAAGCCAAACTAAATGGAGCTGAATAACAAGTATTTCAAGGTCATTGGATAAAGAAAACGTTTGCCTCACAAAATGTTTACTGCAACACACACATGAAACATCATAGAGAGGATTGACTTAGTTGGAGAATAAATATTATATGCCTGTCTAGAGTCACAGAACAAGCCCAAAAAACTTGATAACTAAAGTGTTCATCAACTCAGGCTGCATTTGAACCTAGGAGGTGTTGTTGAGCATTGTTAGATATACTGGTTAAATTATTTCTCAATAAAAGCTGTTGTATTCTACCAACAACCTCCATCCACACAGTATTGGGCAGTATTGAACTTTACCAATTGTAATCAGTGATAAAACAAATGGTACCAATAAGAAAATGGATCGTGAAAGGAAGGATTTTTAAAGTTTACACAAACAAACTTCAAAAACAGAAGACTGCCAAAGGTTTCTCAAAGACCCCTTCTCTTTTAGAACTCTCAAACTCAGAACTTAGAACTTTACACACACAGGTAAAACCTTTTGAAAAAACAATAATTTGATTTTTGTCCTTTCTTAGAAACATATCAACACTTATGAATAATCCTACATTACAATGAGAAGTATAAAGCCTTGAAGAAATAGAAATTCAGTGACATTTTGACCTGTTTAGAAATCAAGACAAAAAATATCTGCAAAGACTATTAAAAGAGAGTCATGGGAGACAATGGGGATTTTTGACATTTTACAACCAAAAAACATACCATTGAATGGATCAAATTAAGTTTAGAAAAGCTGTGAATTTGAGGTATTTGTTTGTGTAAATTGAAAGATTGCCTCAAATTATTTGAGTAAACTGCAAGACTCTAGGTATCAATTATTAATGATACCATCGCTTTGATATCAACAACCAAACACAATGCACAAAAAAAGTTCGAAAATCATCTCAAACATCATCAGAAAAACTGGTTGGAATATTGTGAACAAATTTATAAAGAATTTGGAATAGCTAAGAAAATATATTATACATGTATACCATGAAAAACCTGAGGAAATTTCTTGAAATCAGCAATTACCTCAAGGTGGTATTATTCAACAAGGCAAATTCCTATGATTAGTGTATAGTCAGGCCTGGCTATAAGCTTTTTAGCAGTAACTCTCCTAGTAGTTTTCAGGTGTTCTATTTGAAGATAAATAAGAATAGAAACAAAAGAAAAAGCTTGCTTTTTAGAACAAGTTAGGATAGCTGTCTGTAGCTCTCATCTGTCATTTGAGGAGAGCCTTTAGAGGAGACAAGAAATCATGTTGAAGGAAGCCTTAAAGAAAGAGGTGCTACCTAGGGGGGTAGCTTAGTTTAGGGCACTTTTGTTCAACAAGTAAGGCCCCCCAATCAAAAAGGGGACCCTAAACTATTTTAAAATTTCTGTGGTTTTAAGACTTCCTTGATTTATTTTCAAAAATTTAAGGTCTACAGTTGGTCCTGCTATAGTGCAACTCCCTCTAGTTAACAAGAAAAATCACTATTTTTCCATCTTGCTATTGCGTTTGACGTAATCTACAGCACTGGATGGGACTTTCTTGCAGTCTGTTAATCAGAGCTAAATTTCAGTTTTTCATTAGGGCCTCAAATGCCTCTTCTCTTTTACACCACTGGTGAAACCCTTCAAAGTTATCAATATCATCTGATAAGATACTTTTTAACATAAGTTAAACCATTTAAATACTTTCAAAAATCATAAATTTTAGGCCTGGTTTTCATGTAACTTTTATGTGTCAGATACATTGGCAAATCTAGTTCAAATTTTTCCTGCCTCTGACTTTGGTGATGACAGAAAATTTTAATGGAATCATACATTTTGGGCACATCAGTTGTTTCTTGCTAACACATGACCTGCACTAGCCAATCAAAGATCATTATATTACCATGTAAACTAGTTGCATGAAGTTTGTTGTCAGTTCAAATTATGGTGCAGCAACAGGATAACATTATTGACTAAAACCTGGGTGAGTGAGATTTAAACTGTCTTGTTTTTTTTAAGATAAAAGTCTTAGAAAAGGCAAAGACCAAAGTCTACAGCTTCAATCTATGAAACAATATGAGTAACTGGCCAGATACCTGGCATTGGTGATAAATTTCCTTAACCCAGAATCTATGTTTTCATTTTGAACTCTGCTTTTGAATTGTGCTTTTTCAACTGAAGTTAAAAGAAGTGCATATTGTATTCAAAGCAAGAAACGCTTTGACTGCAGCTGCCATTTTGATGAATTACCCGCCCAAAGGTTCCCAAGGAGGCAGCTGAAGAGAATCATCGGTGAGGCATTGTAGAGGCATTGCAGAGGCAATGCTGACACATTAAAGCTATATGAAACAGGACAAAGAGAATCATCAGCGATAAATTGTCTGGGATTCCTTGATGCATAAAAATTATGAAAAAACTAGGCTCTACAAAAACAAATTCAAAACAAAAACAGCAAGAAGTATGTTGAGAAGTACAAATGATGGTTTAATATAATTACATATTCTGCTCCATTCAATATTTTGGGTTTAATTACTAATTTTAAATCTCATTTAACAAAATAGCGTAGATGAGGAATAATTTGGTTTGGTCTACCCACAAAAAGCCTGAAAAACAATTGAAATTCTAGATAAGAGAGTAATTTTATTCACTTGACAAGTACTTTGCTGAGTGTAGAAAAGATCCTTGAATAGATGAAGACTATTTGGTGGCCAAAAATAGATCCAGTTCACCATGTGTGATGATGATCTTCATTAAAAAAGCTATGCAACACAAGTAAAAAACAATCCAAATTTTATAAAGGAGGGGCAACTTTTTTCAGTTTCGGAATTTTTGCTGATTTGATGGATAAATGAATTTGTAATGACAAAGCAAAAGAAATTTTACTTGATATCTGCGGGTGCCTTAATACAAGTTTCCAAAAGAAAATTTTGGGTACTATAAATAATTGATTAAAAAAGAAAACAGTTTCCTGAGATTAAAGTAATGCAGATATATATTTAATGTGACTTCATACCAGTTTTGTGTTTTCCTTTTGTTTCCCTTCACTGGTATTTATCCCAAGTTCAATTTGCTTTTGAGCATTTTCAAGGTCAGTTGACAGTTGCCCAATTTGCAAAAGAAAAGCCTCTTTCTCTTTCTTCACATTTGATAGTTCGTGTAAGATATCCTCTCTAGTCTGGCCATGCTAAAATAAAAAATATCATATCTAGAAAGCTTTTTTATGGCGATGACTCTGGGTAGTTTTCGAATTAAAAGGACATGATCTTAACTTGACTAGGATTTTATTTTTAACTAACCAGTACATATTTCATGATGCTACAAAAGTTAAATAAAAAATAATAATTATAAAAAAAATTATAATTCAATCATATTATAAGGTATGTCATATGAAAAGGAAAAATTTTGTCCATAAATTCTGCAACTAGTTAACCTTGTTTGTGTATCTAGTACAAATTTAACGATACACCTACGGACTTACAAGGCCAGTGTACAGTTATATTATCTTTAGTTAAATATTTCTTCTCAGAAGCAAACAGAACAAGATAATTTGTAGATATATATTTAGCTGGTAACTTAAAGAGCAGCTGCACTGCAAGCCTTTTTGGCAGTTTCCGTCGAGATTGCCAAACGCCTGTGCGTATATATAACATCATCATGACCACAATTTTACATAAAAAGCTTACCAAATGATCCACCGCATCTTCTATAAACAACATGAAATAGGACAGCTTGCTTGCCAAATGAAAAAGTGCTTCTGCTTCCTGGCGCTTTATTCCAGATGGGTAATTATTTTCAACAAGAAGCACCTCAAAATTCTCGATTAATATCCTTATGCTATCCATGTTGTTGCCGATTTCGCCTGTATGGTGCCGTGGTGAGTGATAAACGGTAGGCTGCCCAGCTTCCTTGAAAATATCGTCCATTTCCTCTAGTGCCTTTTCAAGCATGGAAGCTGCTTCACTTCCCACTGCGGACATTTTCGGTATGTGTTGTCCACGAGCTTCAACTAAGGAAAGCCTATAAGCTTTTTGCCCTCGAGTTCTCTTGCTGATTCGTATGTGATTCACACATTTGTGTTGCTACATTTAAGGAGATTTACTTCATGTAAGAGAATGCTCCTCCGCCATTTATAAGTCTGCCCGCATCGACAACCTCTGTTGTTTCGGCAAGAAGAAGGTAGGGGACTGTCAGTTACATGAAAAAAATCAAAATCAAATTATATTTATTAACGTGATCAAAGAGATACTTGGACACAGCAGTGCCATAGAGGGGGCTCAGGGGCACAGGGGCCAACTTGATAAAAATTCAAAGAGATTTCCTGGGGGTGGGCGGTAGTTGGGCTAAGTCCCTTTAGCCTGCGTCACAGACCACCACCTGGGGTTTGGAACTCAGGCTAACCATCACCACCGAGGAGGAGACTCCTGGGGATGGGCGGTGCTCGTTATATCGGGATTCCATTGTAGTTTGAATTTCATATTCACAGCACAGAATCTTCAGCACAAATGCAAGTATATTTGGTGTGCTCATCGGTGCAGTTTCTCAACGTTGCTTACATGACAGACAGGGGGTGTAGTGCTAGGGGGCTCATGAAGGCTCAAAGGAGCTCAGGGGGCCTGAGCCCCCTTGTTAATGCCAAAAAGTAGCCAATTTCTGCCTTTGCTATTGTTTTTCGCTGCGTTTTTGCGCAAGAGCCCCCCTTGTTATTTTGATTGCACTACACCCCTGATCAAACCCCTCCTAGCTTTTCAGAATAGTACCCCTACTTAGCAAACTTAAGTACAGGATTCTATCTGGCAAACTGGAGTAGGGCCTACAGAGAACTCCTTTAGGTTGGGGACAGAAAGGACTAAAAAGTGGTAGTTGATGTTTAGATAAAGGAAGACTTTGAATGAAGAACATTTCTTGTATTATGCAAAATACTTTTTGATCCCTAGTATCCTTACAATCATAGTGCAATCCATTAAATGGCGATACCCCAAAACATCAGAATTTTTAACATTCAAGATAAATTAAATGACCCTCCTTAGCTGAAAATATACTAGAAGACCCCTACCTACTGGTCGGCTGCAATGCATAAATTTTATATTTCCCATCCAAAATAATCTCAAAAAGGTATGGAGTGATATTTGCCAGAGGCCAAAACATACAACTGATGGAGTGATTTAAGTCAAGAGCAAAAACGTTCTGGTACGCAGGGCTTCATTTCCACTGCTGAAAAGAGAAATGCTTCCAAAATAACATTATATCTGAAGAAATCTTTCAAAATTACCAGTTGTTATCTAAGCAGGTATGCTGCCCAGTACCCATCCCACCCCACCCCGTATTTTAGGTGCAACTCTCCTCAACCAACCGAAACGAAGGAGACGTAGTTCTTCAGTGAATAATGTTTTAGTTACCAGACAATGGATTAGTGCTGAATAAGAAAACAACAGCTTGTTAGGATTTTCACCAAATGAAAACAATTAAGTTCACCACGCCTTCTTACAACAACCTGCCGGAATCCAGGAAATAAGATCCTTGAAACAAATGAAACCGCACCCAAATCACGCCGGAATTGTGGATGTTTAGACTTTCTGGCGCTGTACTTGAACTTATCAAGTTTCTGCTTCCTTTAAAATGGCTTTTCAAAACAAGGAAAAAACTCATAGTTTGTAGCAAGGGAACCTACTCCTATAGGTACACATTGCTTCAAGAAAGCTATTTACACAATAAAAAACGGCAATTTTGTAAAGAAACTCGTAATGAGAGCTCAGTTGCTTAATTTTTGTTGATTGTAAGATTTTGTAAATACCAAAGTGCCAAAGAACTTTATTTAAGATCCCAAGTAACACACAAAAATTGAAAAGCTCTACCATAATATTCGGACATGAAGAAGTAAAGTTTATAAAACAAAAACAACACAACACAACACAACACAACACAACACAACACAACACAACACAACACAAGACGCCTAAATAACTTCCTTTGAAACAAACAATTGCAAGAAGCAATCATATACAATTTTGTTCTCATAACTGGTTACTAACAATCCTTGCCAAAGTGTTACAAAATAGTGTAGACATAACAGAAAAGTTAGTTTATTAAGACTTGTTGCAAATCACTTAACAACGATTACACGTTTAGGTTTTCTTTTTTAAAGTTTTGGTTTTTCTAAGGTTGTTTTTATCTATAACAGGGCCCTTATTGATAACAGCACCTTTGTTGATGAAAAGGCAACCCTCTATAAATAATTATATTAATACTATTATTATTATTATTAATTTACCATCTACGCTGATATACTTGGCTATCTTTCACCATCAATCATAACTGGAGAAAACCTTCGCTCAGATCTTCTCTTGAAGACTAACAACAATTACCTATACATCTTAGAGCTTACTGTTGGTTTTGAATCCAATCTTGACACAAATGCAGCAAGAAAACTCGGCAAGTATGCTTCTCTTCTATCAGATTTACAGCGGCATTTCAAATGTGTCTCTTTTGTGAATCTTTCTATGAGCTCTCTTGGCATCTTTGGCAATTCCTGCATCTCCTTCTTCAAAATGTGTGACTCTCTCTCCATCGATCAACAACAAAAACGGTATCTCATCTCTAAACTTTCCAACATTGCCATCCGTACTACGTACTACATATTTTGTTGCAAAAATATACCATGGACAAATCCGGAATTACATCCTTTTTAATTCCGGTTGTTTTATTTTTCTCAGCTTTCCCTTTTACCTTACGATTGCTATAGTATTTTCTTGTAAAACCAGGCTAGCCATTTGCAATTGTAATTGTAGTTTAAGTTGAATTGAAAATGAAATGTTTCCATTATTATAATTTATTATAACACACTAAAGATTTAAATTGCTCCGACTTTTGAATTCCTCCGTGATATAATAGATCGTGTAGATTTGTTGTACTTGTTTGCTAATGCTTCCATGTCTGTTTTTAGTAGCACAAATCATAATCGTGATGATGATTATTATTATTATCATTATCAGCTAGACTCATTTCCAAATTCAGACACAAAACTCCAGAAAGCACGCAAATAAAATACTGGTTATTTCTTTTCAATTAGATTTTAGTAAGAAAACATTTTGAATAATACGCAATAAAGATATTTCTTTAACCAAGAATAAAAAATTCCCATACACTGGCTAGATCAATCTTTAGACAGTAAATTTAGACGATTTTAGATGTCGAACGGAACAAAAACACCATCAGTAGAGTTGCGGAAACCCTACTGGTTCTTGACATCTTGCTCCTAAAGTGCATCTTCATATACTTAAATTACAGAAAGATCGAATAAATCCCAGTCACTCACGTTTAGTCGCAAGTTTTTAACACTTTTCAAATATAATTAAAGGATAAATATACTAAATTACAATTACAAATAACTTTCAAATATTTTGGCTTTAAAAATCTTGGGGAATATGAATAGGGGCAACAACGATTGGTCCTAAATTTAGTATCAATAGCGAAAGATATTCCTGAACGTAGACTTAAGAGAACTATGAACACTTACAAATAGAAAAAGATACCATTTTGAGAACGTAATTCAATCACTAAGCTAAATGGTGGGAGTTTTCCTGTTTGAAACTAAGAAAATATATTAAATAAAAAACTCTATTAACTATATAGAAGTAAAGGAGTTATCTAACAACAGTTTTATAATACGATAGGGTCGGAATAAATGGCACTTCAACAAAAGCAGATTTTACAACTGGTATTCAGGATAATAAAAGTCTGGTATACTATTAAACACTACTAAAAGATTATAGAAATGGCCTTTATAAATCTAGGATAAACTTTATCTATTAACGATCTGATTTACAAGGAAAGTCTTAAATAGATTCCTTGAATTGTCAAAACAGCTATCGTGGAATCTATCGTTGTGCTCGACTCAAACTGTAACACTTGAACTTACATATGGAGACGTACTAAATTGTGATACTATCATATTTAAACATGCACACTAAGTTCAAGACAGTGCCTGACATATTAATCTAAAAATTCAAACGCAAAGAGCCGCTCCAAACAGATGTACATTGACTACAGCACTATATGATATGAGTTCAGTAAACCAAGGTGAATTACACATTCCAAACAAATCTCACTGCAGTTGCCTGAACGTTTTAAGCTGTAGGCGGATCAGATGCTGCTGCAGTTGAAGGTTTGTTGACCAGTGGTGGCGGTCCCTGACCCGGAATCAAGTTACTGCTAGGTCTCTGCCCACCTGGTGCAGCAAACCCAAATGGCCTGCTCTGTGGAGTTGAAACAGCTGGTCGATACAAAGGTGGTGGCTGTGAGCCTGGAATTGCTAGAGAAGAAGAAAACAGGACCAGTCAGACATCTGCTTGGCAGGAACTACCACTTGACAACCGATAAGAAACGTTGTTGAAATTTGTTTCTAGAAGAACCCAATTAGCATTTGATTGCATAATCATCAACCAATTATCCCTGCATTTGGAGATACGGGCTAAATTCATGAACTTTTAAGATGTCTACTTCGAATCTCTACTACAATGAATCTGTAAATCAAAAATACAAAACAAAATACATACAAAGCTTTTACAGCATTACAGGAGTTTTTGATGGAAGGACATCAAAAGGTCGGTCTATTTATCAAAAACTTTAGCAAAAAAGCTTTCTGCAACAAGTTGTTGATAGCCAGAAACATACGGGTTGCTTAGATACAGCATGTCAAACCTTAAATAATTACTTTCTAGTTTCTCTTCATTTCAAAACATCCCACGCCATATGAGATGGTGATATCGTCCCAAATATTTGGTCTGCTATGATTGCGATGTGGTCGTTGAAGGCGAGTAAGTGGTCGTTTGATAAAGGTGGTCCTTACAATGTACTGACTAGTTGCAATGCACACGTAAAACATTTCGAAAAGCCAGACAACCTAAAATCAACAACTACCTGAGACAAACGGCATTCTTGGGTTTTCCGGGCCCGGTATGTTATTCATACCCGCAAAAGATTCCGCATCAGACATCGCTATTTCGTCCCACAGATCTCCGGTCCGGTCAGATACAATACTATTTTCTTTTTCGTATTCTTCAAGGATATCTAGTAGGTTGAACCGACGACGGTAATTAACAAAGAAATTTCTACACTGATTGAAAGTTTTATTTCCAAGAACTTCAGCCATTGCTTGGAAGTCCTTCCCATAAGACCGGACGCCTAGAAATGAAATGTACGTACTGCTTTAGCAAAGAAAATGCACATTCATAAGTCGAAAGAGAGAAATAATTTGCAAACACAGTTGAAAAGAAGTAATCGATTAGCTAGCTATCCGATTGACATTACCTTTTAACAAGGAAATACCCAATAATAAGTTGAATTTTAAGTATCTACGGTCGAAAGAGTAGATAGAGTAAAGACTAAAAAAGCTTGGTTATTCTATGTTCTACTCTTTCATAATTATACAACCCTCACAGGGGAAAAAACGCCACAACAACTTTGCAGATATTCTAAAGCATAACTAATTGCTTACTTGATAGAACAGAAAGAATGGGAGGTAAAATGAGATAAGCTTTCAATTATCAAATGTCATTAGAAATGTTCAAAGACCACAGCCTTTAATTAAACATGATGACCATTTATTTCTAAAATAAATCGGAGAAGTAACTTATTATCGAAAGAAATGAACTTCAAACTGTGGATACATTAAGGAACTTTCGTTACTTACACTGAACAGCTATGAGCAACTCTTCGTTCGTCCAACGTGCATTTAGTTTTTGATTTGGCTGCAGAAAATCCAAGAACATCATGCCATAAAAATCTTATTTTTAAAAAACTTCTAATGCAACCACGCTGAATAAAACTGATCAATACGCCATGGAGCCCTTTTCCTTTACAATTCAGTAACCTCTTTAACCAAAACTAAGCATAAAAATGTAGCTTTTAGCTCTGATTTTTCAATGAAAATAGCACAATCAATAAAGGAAAACCATTTAATTGTAAGGCCAATGCAAATGACTTACCTCAGGCGGCCGGAATTTATCCATCTTCTCCCCAGTTGCAGATTTGTCTTGACCAATAGCTTGCTTTGATGCTTGAACCTGGCGCCTTAGATTGATAAGTTCGATTTCCAGAGGGCGCACGTGACTATCACCATGAACTTGTGAAATGTCGTTCAGCAAATCACCAGTCAGATGCATACCCTAAAATAATGTCAAACTACCCTTCAATATCTAAACACGCTTTCAGTTAGAAAAATGGAAAATAATACTACAGTTTAAAGAAAAATGTTTTACAAAGCTTCTAAAAGTTTATTCAGAATTCAGAAACAGGGTAACCAGAAAAGTAAAATGTGCTAGTTGTCAACAGTTTGAACAAGCCTAGTATGGCATAATACTGCAACACAATAATACAACGCATTTCCAAATTTGTTATAAATGTTATATACCAGCGATCCAAATGTTAAGAGTTGTGTAGCTAATCTTCTATCCAGTCTTCAAAAACTAAGATAACACCTCTACAAACCTTTGGAGGCCGTTTTTTGAGTTTTGCTTGAGGCCCTTTGTATAATTGATTTGTGTTGACGCCCTCTAAGGTTGCTGCAATTTTAGGCCGCATAACACCGGTTCGACTGTGAGAAAAAACAATGTGAGATTTATAAACGATGAACAAGCCAACTTCAAAAAACGTCTTGATATTCTAACATGTCTCAGGTATAAATTTAACGTCATCAGTTCAAAGAGATGACTGTCCGTGATTATTCAGCATTATAAAGAAAGACTGTTAAGTAACATATAAGGGCCGTTTAAAGATCGTCTAATTCTTGAAATACTGATATAGAAAACCAAGAACTTAGATACTTTAGTTTATCTTTAGTTAATCTATTCAACAAATTTCATTCGATATTTCATAAAGGAATAATTTACTGAAAATTTGCTAGATATTTAGGTTATGCTCTTTTATTCACCCTTGAATAAATTATTCTAACTGATATCAAATACATTTATATATGTTTATAGGCAAAGTTTTTAGGATACATTTTATGGTTTATCACTAGATTAAACTTCAGTATAGCGCAAAAATGAGTATTTACTGATCGCTTTGGGTCATAACAGCTATCAATATGATGAAGAAAACTGTTAAAAACATCTTAAAAAGGCTCTTGCCTCAAATATTCGTTGCACGCGTTACACAATTGCCCACGTGGAGTGTTGTTCAGCTGCGAAGATGCGAGGTTACAATTGTTACACGTGGCTGAAGTTTGTACTGGTGTAAATTGCACTGGTTTGGCTTCATTTGTCCCAACATTCGACAACTGAAATGAATACAATAATTTTTACTAAACTAACATTTTTTGAAGCTGAAACAACATCACAGGTGGCTTAGAGTGCCCTTTATGTAATGAACTACACAATAAGACACCACTTGTGTAAGCTTAGTGACAATAAGCAGGGAAGCTTAGTGACAATTTTTGTGCTTAGCACATAATTTTTTACTGGAAATAAGATTTTTCGAGACTGTCAATAGGAGGCAGTCAATTGCTTCTACCATGAAAATCTATGCTTTAATACAACAAAATTTTCAAACTTCCTCGGGTAATCTAGATAAAAACAATAGAACTACAGAATAACTCCATACCAGCATAAAAGTTTACGCTTTTGGTGTACAAAAAGGACGGTTCTAAGTTGCTACACCGAATTTCAAGCTTAATATGATCATCACGCAACTGTCATATTCTGCCTATACGGCATCGACACAGTAGCTTTCATAATAACAAAAGTTTAGATCAATTGCAAAGTAATGAAAGATATAACTATTATTCGTTAAATAAAGAGCTGTTTTATTTCCAATTTTGATAGTGTTAGCCTAATCTATAGCTGTGGAATTTTATAATGCTTCCTGTAAATAGGTATTGACAAGACTAGTCTGTTATTCGATCTAAATTTTAATTGATATAAAGAACGAAAGATGAAATGAACAAGAAATTTTAATTTTGGCATTTTAAGATCACCTGTCTGTAAAGGGTAAAAAAGAAATGTTGCATTTTTGCCTTTACGTAACCAGCAGATAAAAACGCTCTCTCGATTATCAGCTGTCCAAAATCTTAATCCAATCCGTTTCTAATGAGTTTCAAATCCGTTTCAAATGCAATCAAATTCATATTCGATACAACCATATAAACTCTTGTTTTGATTGGTCTTAGAGAGCCCTTAGACTACTCAATAATGTTCAAATTCACATTCACTAGAAAAGAACAAACCAAAACGGGAAAGCTGCTGGTTGAAGTGAGACCGAAAGGGAAGCAGCACTGCCACAATCAAACCAATTAACTTGGAACACGCACATACCTGCGGTACAGTTGGAGCCTTGACCTTCATGCTGCTAAAACGACCCTTCAGAAAGATGGACACGTATGAGTCAACGCATTTATTGATAATAACGAGGCATCACAGAAATTTAACAATGTACTCTGTTTTAACTCAGCGCCTTAAAATTTCTTGCAAAGATTAGCAAAAGAACTGTGCCACAGAATATGACTCGATGTTTTGTGACTTTGTCCTGTCGCTGAATCAGGCAAGATGCGAAGGAAATGATTTTGGTACAAATCTATAGCCATTGAAAAAATAAAATAACATAATCGAACAATAAGACAAGTATGCAAAAAACCCTAAATAAATAAATACTAATAAGAGACAATGTATAGATCTATCGATCGAAAACAAATATTAACATTTGCAAGGCAAGACGATAATAAGAGAGCTATTTCTTAACAATCATCCTTGGGGTAGAGCAAAAAAGGAATTCCAAGTCTTTTTATGGGCACAGCAGAGGGACAAACTCGATAACACCATGCACTTGGTTCTTCAGGGAATCCTATCGTTTACCACAAATACTTCAATTGTTGCTTAAAGTTAATCTGTTATCACCACACAAAACATACCCAGTGAATGTATTATCAATCGGATATTATTCGGAAACGCTACACTAAGCATTTGAAAGCATTTGCTTTGTTTAACTGACTTACATTACCACCCTCCTTTTCTGGTTCAAAGTCACTGTCACTTGTGTCATCTTCGCCACCATCGCTTTCACCATCACTGAACATCATTCCAATACTAGACGAACAAAACAAGCAACGTACAACTTTGTAGAAGTGTGTGCCTGGCTATATGGTGCCAGCGATAAGTTGGAAAACTGGCAGTAGAATGACTGAACTGAATTGGACATGTTAGATAAAAGATAACTAGACAAGTAACGAACAAAAAGAGATGATGATTGTCAAGAAAAGGCAGACAGTCGAAGAAAAATTAAGATAGCAGGGCTATGTGAGGGAAATAAGGCGATTATTAGTTTGAAGATATGTCATGGACATGATCGAGAACCATTGAGAAGTCTGATTCACACGGGTAACCGCAAAAAGCTAGTGGGATTAATCTATGGCCGTAGAAAAGAACAAAGAACAAAAAGAGGAAGAAAAAGGAAAACTGACACATTCTTACGGCTCTGTTTGGAAAGACGAAGATAGTAGATTTGATCACAATAAGTACCAAATAATTGTTTAGATTTTTTTCAAAAACCTAACGAAACATTCATGAAATATACAGCCATGACAGGTGTAGGCCAGTAATATGTGGGTGAACAGTGGATAAGGGCCTGGCCCAGAAGCATTTCATATAACACGCCCTCGAGAGCTGAAAACGCACTTTTTAAAGACATGCTAAAGAAAACAGTGATGAAACAGTAATGTCGACCGAGCCTTTTTGACAACATATCATCAAATCTCGTTCATTTTATGCTTCTTAGTGGAAATTCTCGACAACCAGCTGTTTTAGATGTCAGCTAAATCGTGTTTGTAAAGAAAATATGTCACAGAAATAGCACACTTTCACAGCATTTTCCATTTGGCAAAGCATGAGCTTCATTGAGTTTCTTCTGAAATTATCCATGAAATAAATTGAATTTTGGTATGACTGGAAATAAAGGGGAAGCATGTCTAAGAAGTACACAGAAACCAACCCTGTAGGGTCTTTGTGCTGCCTCCTGGCTTGCCTATCCATAAGGCTCGTCCTGTTTCGTGTCTTTTTCCATGCATAATAATACTTTACCAGTGAGCTTATACTTTTGTCAGGTAGCTAGAAACAGATTAACAACAGCACTATAATACAGGTTTAAGTCCGAAAATCAAGTGACATTCACGCTCAAATAGATAAAAAATGGCTTCCTAATATACGAAATGAAAACAAACAAATCCACAATCATGTGTATCTAAATACGTTATATCGGACTGCATGCCTTTGAAAGAAAATTTATCTGAAATTCTCTAGGTGTCTCAATCTTCTATCACAAGCAAATACCAGTCGTATAAAAATAATAATCTTTCCTTTTAACACTGTGTCTTAGCTAGACTAAAAAGTAGGCTATCGTTCATAGACTAAGCTTTGCATTAAAAGGGGGACATGTTGGCCGACAACTTAACACTCAGTCTGTAGAAAGAAAGCATCAAAAGCTACTTGTCGGTAAAACTAGAAGCCAGTTTTAGGCGAAAGACAAAATCAAAGAGCATCTTTAACTTTGTTATTTTTTGTTTATCAATATACCATAGAACTATCAACAAAACTATATTACTTTCTTGACAAGGTTATAAAATTTGCTAATTTGGATATTGATTCTGTGTGATAATACCGATGCTTGTTCAAGACTTTATAGAAACTTCCTCCACAAAATGGGCATTACCTGTGACCGAATTTTCGAGAAATGCTTCCCATGTGAATTGAAGGATTGCTCAAAGATTACTTTATCTTCCATGCTCCATTCATCTATAAATAAACGAAATAATTACATTTTGACACAGTTTCTGGTATCGCCACCTAGCAAGGCAATTTCTTTTTTAATGATAAATCATGAACATTGCTGATACTAGATAAAATATTATAATATTCTAACAATAAAGCGACAATGAAAAATAAAATAGCAGCAATTATAGCATAAGACTTTTCTAAAACTGATAATGACTTCTTAATAATTTTTTTCACCGACAAATTTGAAGATGGCACCAAACAGCGGAAACATAGCATACATAGCATACTGAAGTAACACTCTCCAGAGTACAAACGTCGGATCTGGATGGGGGAGGGGGTGTTAACTAAGCACAATTTTGGAAGGGTAAGTGCCATTTTGGTTGAAAAATTTCAACCCATAATTCTGCACATATCTGAAAAATGTGACCTATAATTCTGCAAACATGACGAAAACTATACCGGGTAAATGTCCCCTAATTCCGCAAATCAAAAAACACTTTTCGAGACACAACAAAATCATCAAACAAATTGTGTATGTCCTTTGCCCTAAAAACTAAATATTACACATATTTCATACTTTTATTTCTAGCAGGACATTTATTTTGTTAATGCCAAATTTCCCTCCTAAAAAATCCCTGATACCGATAATTCCGCATTCGTCTGAAAAAAGGCACCCTAAATAATGGCACATTCTCCTTCCTTAAAAAATGTTAAAGTATAAATACCCTCCTCCCTCTCCTGAGGGTCGGATAACGACAAAAAGTAAGCTGAAAAAGTAAGTTTATATAACTTCTCTATGACTTTTCCAAGATTCAAATGATATATATACAATTAAGTAGATCGAAAATGTTGTTACCGGGTAAAGGCGTAAAGTTCTGCAAATCACTTATAGACTTTTCAAAATTATATTTGTGCCAGTAAAGCATCCCCAATGCCTGTAGAAGAAAATTCATAAAATAGATTAAAAATGCACTATTTCCCATTGAATCAAAATACACTGTTTGAGGGTTACAAAACATAGCAAAAGATATGTTTCAAGCACTGAATAGCTGCTTGAAAAAGAAACAAAGTAATACACACAAGCCATTTATAGGATAAAAATAAAAAATTTAGCATGCACTTAAGGACAGTTTTTTTAAAAAGATAACTAGAACAAGTCTTGAATAGTTGCTTTTTATTTTTTGCAGTTGTGACAGAAATAACCAATCTTAGCTAAAAAGGCTAGTGCTTCATACTGGGGTGTAATTTAAAATAATTTCTTCGAAATGAGGTAAAACAACTGCAATGAAACAGATTGTTAACAGCATTATATGCAAAATGATAGAAAGAAAACAAAGGTAACGATGAAGGTACAGCCAAATACATGTGTGTTAGATTGGGTTTTGGGTTGTATAAAAATGATATATCTAAACAGTATGAAGACTTCAATTAGGATTTATTCAATTGCATATAACGCAATGCATTTGAGGCTAAGAAACTAAAATACTCTTTTTGAAATTCCTGCCTAAACTCTCTGTGTATGTCATGAACATTATAGGGCAAAGCTTTGCAACTTTGGACAAAAGAACTCAACTAGTGTGTTTCAGTCTGTAAAAAACTATGGTCCTTTTTATGCATTGAATCTTAGGCAGCAAGGTTTGAGACACATAGCACAGGGCGTTAATTCCAAATTAAATTGTGCAAAAAATAAACCCTCCAAAATATTCATAATAAAACCCTTTTAACAGCTAATCAAAAACTTCAACTAATACTAGAATTGGGCTCAGCAAGCATCTTAATGTTCACCAGCTAGCAACAAAGCAATTAACTTCCAGATTTTATACCAAAATCTGAAAACCGATTCTTACTTGTTCTACATTGTAGCCATATTTGTCTTTAGCAACTTGAAGATAATCATCCACTGGAAAATATTAAAATGAACTAACATTAGTAAGAAAATAAATAAGAAGATAACAAATAAAAAAATGAGTATATACATAAACAAAATACTTTTTTAAAAATATTTCATTTAGATAAAAGCATTTATTTATTTATTCATGATATTTCTGCAAATAGGCTGGAAGATCTGTGGGGCAGATAGGATCAAAGCACCAAGAAGATAGGCAAACTAACTTAAGAAAATATCTAAATTTGTGAGACAAACTGGGCAATCAGCCCCTCCCCCAAATTTACCCCTGTATTCTAGCAACTCTGTATTCCTTTAGTTCAATAACTTGGGAAATATTTGCTTTTAAATTTTTTGTTCATCAAACAAGAAGTGGAAAATCTCAAAATGTTAACAGGTTTAGAGGGAAAAAGCACAGTATGCAAATGACACTTTAGGGTAATAATTGGAATATGAAGAATTGATGAACTGTGAATTGAAAAACTGCAAGAAGAAGAAAATTGTACAAAGGATCTTTTAGGGGAAAATTGGGACATTGCTTTATTGGGTTTGAAAGCCTGAGTCAAGGGCTTAGCATTGGCAAGACTGTAATTATAGCAAGAAATAAACTTTAACTTGTTACATACATTTTGTTTCATCAAGTTCAGCATCTGGCTCCCACACTTGAAGTGGTTCTGGCCTGGTGACTTCATCAGGGCCTGGAACTTAAATTATATAGCTGTGAAAACCAATTATTAGGCAATAATACGAAAGCAAAGAAAAAGCAGGTGTGGCATAAATGGTCTAGACATTTCAAGACAAGTTTTTGGTCCTTATCAGAATCATATGCAAAATAGAAAAATAAATAAATGAAAGGTGAGGCAAATTTGGATAATCGCATACACCAAAGTGGCCATATCTAAGGATAATGAAAGAGGAAATATTTCAAGCAATTGTATTCTTCAATGGTCATTCCTTGCTGCAAGTGTTTAGGAAACCCTTTTTAGCAGCCTCCAATGGCTAGTGCCAGGCAAATAATTTATAAAGTTCAGAAAAGTCACAAGTTGTAAGCTTTGGAAATGGAAATTATTGTGGTTTTAAAACAAAAACATATGTTGTTTTATACTTTGAATAGCTGCTAAAGCTATGGATGAGTATTGAAGTTAACTTGAGCAGAAAGCTGGAAACAAGGTTTTACAGTACTGTGATTCCTATCACCGACTGTAAACAAGGGGCAGCTTCATAAGGAAATTTAAAATTTTGTCAATTTTCTAACTCCCTTAAAGTTTTTTGAATATTTTTTTCATCTTTTACATTAGGAAAGTGGTTAGATTTGGAACATTGTTAAGCATTTAACACCTTCCTGACAGAACTACCTTTTTGACATTTTTAGTAAATATTTTAAACAGAAACTACATCATCCTTTAATATTTGACAGCAAGTGAGATATCATTTTTGAAAAAGATTTTAAAAAGAACTTTGATTTTCCTTTGATAAAAAACTAAAGAGTACATCATTGGATGTTTTGCAAGAAGGCCTTTAAATGAATCATCTAGCTAGGACATGCAACAACCAATGCCCTTAAATAATGTGGTCTTAATTATCTTCTACAATAAATTTCCTTTCATTTTATTGCATATAAACAAAACATAACCATTGATAAAGATTTGCCAGAGATACCATATTTCCTTAAATAAGCCCCCATCTTTGAATAAGCTACTTTGAATAGGCAATAAATTTATCCCAATATTTATGTATCTTTAAGCAGTGACAGCCTCCAATAGAGGAAGAGCAATTTACCCTGGTGGTATTTCTGGCTGCTGCCAAATAAGCGCCTACCCCTCCAAAAACGTACTTACAGTACTATACAAAGAAAACTGTGCTCACTTGTGAGTTCAGGAATCATGGCTTGGTATTCATCACCTACTCTCATTCCAGATTCTGTGAAAAAAATGCCTTAGATTTAAGACAACTTAAACATTAAACAGACGTGAGAGATTTTGGCACCACAGGAAGCTTTCTTCTGACCTTTAAAATTCCAGTCATATAAAAAATTTAATACATTTGAGGAAAATAAGATTAGCTGCCTCAACAAAAAGGTTATTTACAGCCTGTGAAACAGAGGTGACATGGATAACAAGAAGTTAAAAACATTAACAATATGATGAAGTAGACTCTAGTTGTTAATCCTGGGATATTTTGGACTTTGGTTTTCCAATAAATTACTAAAAATTAAGAAATCAATAAAACAAATTACAGCTTAATATTGGTAAGACCCTCTTAAAAATGATCAGCATTCCTTTACAAGCTAATCTCAAATATATTTTGTAAAGCAGATGTCAACAAACTTCAATTTATATGACCGTTCAGCATGCAAAATTCATTAGTATCAAGACAGACAAGACCATTTAAAAAATCATAGAATGGAAATTAGAAAACTTGTCTTTGACCGTCAAAAAATGTAACAGGTAAACATTTTAATAAAATGATGACAGGTAAAATAAAAGATGAAAGTATAGGTAAAAAAAAGATGAAAGTATAGTGGAGACATAAAGAAGAAGAACAGACAAAGCACAAGCAAATAAATCTATTTGCTTATGCATGTTATAGTTTGTGATGACTTATTCATAATTTCTGTGGATATTAAAGACACAAAGAGGTGACATTGATTTGCTGAAGCCTGCAACATTTCATTCAAATTATAAATGTTTCTCACATGCAGAACATGTATCTCTAATAAAGGTATAGAAAACAAAATGCTCAGTTGTAAATAAAAACTTTATTGCTAATAATGTGTATGTTGCTAATAAAATAAGCTCAGAGCTAAGAGCCAATGATAAAATTAAATGTTTTTGTATTTAAATTTCTAGATCTAAGGACCATGATATATATCTTACAAAACCACAATGGTCATAAATGGTTATTGTGCCAGGGTTCTAGACAGGCAGTCAGAAAGCAAGTATATAAGCATGTAAGCAGGACTTTCTGGGAATGAGTAGCGCAAGTGTGGTATTTTGCACTCCTAGACTGTGAAAGGAGTGTGATGGAGTGCTTTTAATGTTTACCCCGATTTCTACAAAATTTCAGTTGCATAGCACAGGGAGCCATAAAACAACATTTCTCAACTCATTTAATCACTTCTCCCACAGCTTTAACAAAAAATGTATGTGGATTTTACTAAAGCAAGGTAAGTGGAAAGAAATATTAAAAGTTATGTGTGTCAGGTTTTTAGCTTTCATTCATTTTTATCAGAAATATTTGTTCAGTAGTTGATCATTTCATGCTATAAATTGTGTCTTTAGAAAAGTGTTTGAATAAAGAAATTGGGAACTTATCAAGGCGTCTTTTAAGTTGAAGTAGGGTCTCTTTGACTGTGATAAAATTTGTCCAGCCTTTTGCAAGTGGGCCCAAAGACCATAGTTTATGGCGGGCACACTTTGCGCTGGGCAGTTATCAGTGCGTAAAAACACTTTGTCTTCAACATTGAAATAGTCATAAAGAATACATTCCATCTCTGATCAGAACAAAAAAGATGTGCTCTGCCTAGTGAGCCTTGATGCAGAGAGGAGATGGTGAAGAACTTTACAGCCCTCAATTTAACAGTGCTTCCACTTGGAAGGAGATATCCTTTAGAATTTAGGCTGATTTGAAGGGAAAGGGCAGAAATTATAAATTAGAAAGAATAAATAAAGATTCTCTAAGAAATTGGGGTCAGATTTCTGATTCATAAATAAGAAAATGGTGTTGTCAGTTAGTAAGCAGGCCAATGACATTGGAAGTGCTTCAAGGTTTGTGCAAACCGAGGCTAGCAAACTGACTTGGCAAATTCAATGTTATAACTGTACAAAAAATTGTTTTTACAATTTCTAACTTGGATCACATAATATGTTTCTGTGCTAAAAACTGGCCAAGATCTGGTAATTCAAGCACAGGCTCTGTTCCCGTCAAATCACACTATTTTTGTCACTATTTAAGCAGTATGTAGCAATATGTAGCAAACTTGATATCATTTATTGACCATTGCTCGCCCAATTTGTAACATATCTAACTGTTTATGCATAATTAGAGATAATTTGTGGTGTTCTATTCAGTAATGTGGTACAAAATTAAAAGTTCTAAAAATATATTTTTATGGCGTCACACTTAGTAACTCTGTTGTCACTACTCCCCAATTCTAAACGCACCAGAAGTTTTGAAAAGTTTCGAAACTCAACAAGGGGAAGTTTTGAAACAAAAGAAGGAAAAGTTTGGAACTAGACAAAAAAACAAGTTGAGGAAGCTTGTGTGTTCAAGGCAACACCAGGAACAATTTCTTGAAAGTGAAAATAATGAGCCAAAGCAATTAATCTATATAAATCTAGTAACAGGGAAATCGGAAGAATTTTCGTGCCATTTTGGAAGAGATTTTAAGAAAATAGAAGGAATATTTTCGGAATGTATGTAATGAAAAGGCCATGTTAGCCAACTGTTTGATGGACTCCATTGGAATACTTGCTGCAAAAAGCCAATATAATGTTGAAAATAAGAAATATTGCAATGCACAGAGAACAAATGAAAAAAATACAAATAATTCGTAGATCGGTTATATTTTGGCATGGCATATAGCTTCATTAGATCATTTACGACCAGTTTTAAGGTTTTGTATGTTGCTTCTCATATTTTTTGCTTTTCTCTGTGTCAGACAATAGAACCATTGTTTGCTGGGCAACAAGACACCATTGGGTATGATACATTTTCATTGGTTGAAAAACTGTCCTTAAGTGTGGTGTAACGAAACAAACAAAGAAAATATATAGCATTGTTTGGCAACTCTTAATTCATTTCATGTGAGCTGTTTCCCAAGAACTTGAGAAATTTAGCTTTGAACAATTTGGCTTTATATCTGTCATGTGTCTCTTAAATGCACTATATCCCAATGCATTTGAATTGTCATTTAGATTTCCCATTGATATGGACTATTGCTACATTGGTATGGACAAGAGAGATTGCTACGTATCCAATCAGCAACTTGTGACTCAATGTTTTTCAGTCATAAACACGCCTCAGAGCCCCACTCTGAACAGTTGATAGATGGGACCTAAAGCCTTTAAGCAAAATTGAATCTCAGTTCAGACCAAAGAAGATGTATGTATTCTAACTGATCTAACTCTGGCAATCTAATTATTTTCAATCAATACAACATCAATTTATATACTTAATGAGGATAAAAATGGAAAAGTTTCACTCTTCTGAATTTAAAAATATTTTTCTATGACTTGCCCTTGTGTAGCTACAAAAATGGTTTACTTTTTAAAGAATTACATCAATTGTGCCTAGGTGTTACAGGAGACAAAACCACACAAGCAAACAATAAAGGAAGTCAAAACTGGTCAAGCTTGTTGCTGCCAAAATAAATAAGGGGTGATATTTTTAATCTTGTTGCAAAAAAGGAAAACAAGAATCAACTTGGAAAATCATTAAAAGGGGTGCCCATCTAGGTAGTACTTCCCCCACCGTCTCCCCCCCCCCCAAAAAAAACGCGGAAACTCTTTACTTTGCTACAGTTGTCTGCAGGGATAACTTTCTTTCTTTGGTATTTAGTTGAATAGCTGACCTTTTTAGGAATTTTGGAAATTATTCTCAGAAATTATATTTATTTATTTCACAAAACACCTGACTAAAAATGAACAATTACTACGAAAATATCACATCTTAATAACCTATGGAAAATCTGCAGGACAGTAACTTTAGAATGAGAGACTCTGTAACAATAGTCTAACACTGTTACAATCTTGGGCAACCAACAACTTCATTATTTCTCGGCTTCACAGTCGCGATAAAATGGACGAGCCATAACGTATCGGCCCAGAAATCAGTTTGTCGATGCAATCAAAACACAATTTGGAGTTCTTTTTAATACCAAAGCCAATTTATGGGTTTGTGGACGGAAATATGTTAGAATATAGAGCAGTGGGGAATAAATTGAATACAAAAGAATTCACAGTTCCAATGAATGCTTAACAAGTGTACGAAGCAGATAACATGCAACATTTATGAAGGCACCTACGAACCTCTTCATGGCAGCCTAAATACCACAAAATGAACACTTTGCTTTTACGAATGAGAAAGAATATTTCCATCACGAAGAAAAGATGAGATAATGCTTTTCATCTAACAACAAGTGAATCGTCTAAACAATATTTACCATGATCTGCTTCTTCGTCGTTATTAGTTGGGGTCGTCTTCTCCGATTGTCGATTGGCTGGCTCGTTGCTGGTGTTCGGCGATACTTTGCCTTCTTTCTCGACCTTATTTTCATTTTCTTTGTTTTGTTCTATAAGATCTAGCTCCGTATCGGTTGATTTGACCATTTTCTGTATAATTTTACTCAACAAATCTATTTCGATGCAGTTAACATGCTTGTTGAAAGGACAATTTACAAGAGTTGATTTTTCTGGATGACCGGTTAAGACACCTGGACAGAACAAAGGAATCTCAATCAATGACCATTGCTCCATGTCATCGTTCTCACGGGGTTTTGGAGGGCGGCGAAACGAGTAATTGCGTCTTGGTCCTATGATGAAGACTTCTCAAAACTGTTTGTCGTAATTTTATCATCTTTTAGTCAAAATCTAAGCATTCTATAAGATCAAGACATGGAGGAAAAGAAATACTGTAACAAAATTGTTTTCAAATAACTGTTTGAAGTTTTGGATGCAAGTAAAAATTTCTTGTGACTTCCTTTACATATGGATTCTTGAATTCTCTAAATTTTTGTTCCTTAAAATTGTTCTATGGAAACAATTTGTTAGATAAGTTGGTCAGTCGCGCCCGGGGCTGTAACCCCAACCCACCCTTTTTGCTGAAGTATGATATCGAAGCACGAAGTGGGCAGGACATGTAGCACAAATGAAGAACCACGAATGGGCTAAGAAAACGACAGAATGGACTCCGTGGGACAGAAAGAGAGGAAAGGGAAGACCAAAGAGAAGATGGAGAGATGAGATCGAGCAGAAGGCAGGCAGCACGTGGACCCAGAGTGCCCAAAACCGTGATGAGTGGAGAAAGATGTGGAGCCATCAGTGGTGTGACAGGCTAATGATGATGATGATGATGATGATGATGATGATGATATCGAAATGTTTGGTAATCGGCATCACAAATAATGGTGACATCACAGATAACTACCATAAGAGTCTGCCAACTTGTCTAGAGCTCCTCCACTTCAAGATGTGCCCCCGGTGGCTATGTTAAAAAAAAATTATCACTGCACAAATTTGATTTTATCGCTGCACATTTATGATTTATCACTGCACAGATTGGTTATCACTGCACGTTAAAATAAACCCTTTAATGAATCCTGCTTGAGGCCTTATTAGCTTAAGAACAAAATAAGAACAAACCAGCCTCAAATTTTCGAATATTTTTAGAACAGTCGGCCTGAACTAAATTTATTGGTTCTTATAAAAATAGAGTGTACAGGCATATTTAAATTTATGTACAAATTGTTACTGATTGTGGGGCTTTGAAGTCGGTTTCTGAAATTTTTTTTCATGAGACTGTATGCCGAAGCTAGCCTCTTGCAATCTGCAGAATGGGGCTTGCAAACAAGAATCCTGGCCAAAACATTGTTTAGGGCATCCCAGTCGTGCTTGGGGGTTCCAAAAGCTCGCAATACCGTTTACGGACTGTTTTTATCCATGCTGCTCTGTTTCACATCTTCGTATTGGTCAGCTGAGACACAGAGGTCAATGTCGGGTGCAACTGCATCATGGACCTTACAAATGCCATCCCTTTCTGAATTGAATTTCACGAAGTTGGAGAAACGGGCCTTGATATTACATCCAGCTTCAGTCTGTTTCTCTTTGAATTTTTCCAATGCAAACAAAAATTCCTAACTTATTGTATTATTATAACTTCTTGTTTCAGAAACAAACTGCTTCATCCGACTTTGGCGACGTTCTTTTTGCCACAGCACTTTCTCGAAGAATGTACCCTTCTCTTCCTCAAAACCTTTATTGAAAGTTTCTTCCCAGCCTCCCAAAATCGGGCCTTCGTGCAGCTTTCCAAGCTTTTTTATGAACACTGTGGTTTCTGGAACGACATCTACTAGATGATGTCGTCTGCTTGAAGCTTTTTCTGGAAAATTTTCAGCAGAAACAACACATCGCCAAGAAAGCACATGAGGGAACCAGGGATTTGACCGCAAAAATCGTTCCAGATGATCTTTAACACCTAAGCTACCAATCACGGTCAAATCCCGTATGAAATTTTTATCTTTATTTCGTCATAAATCAACATCGTGAGCAAAAATATTATGAAAACTTCAAAATAGACAAGAATTTTTTCTCTTAATCCGAATCTGTGGGTGGGGTGAGAGTGTTGTAAATAAATTTGAAGAATTTTATCAAAATGAGGCTGTAAGTTACATTGGTGTATACTCTGCTAGTAGAATGGGCGTGGTCATTAAAAAATTAGAAAGACAACGCCTATAAAATAAAGTTTTACCTAAATATGTGCAGTGATGTAAAATCTTTAAAATAAACCCCGATTCATTAATTTTCGATGAAGGTATTAGAATTTGCTAACAGATACTTCGAGATCTAGCGCCAAAAAGGCCAGGGGAATATGGTAAAACTCCAAAAAGAGCAGGGGATATTGGTATAAGTATCCCTTAAAGTCTCTTATCTCAGAAGTTTCGACTTTAGAACTTTTGGAAAGTGAACTTTCGGAAGAGACTACCTTTGAATACTTCCCAAGTTTCTAGAGATATATACTAGGTACTCATAGAAGTACTATTTCATCCTAAACTGGAGTCATAATCATTATGTTGCAAGGGAAAAATTCATAGACTCGCGATTAAAACTTTATTTTTCTTGACAGTTTAATGAGCAAAGAAAATGAAGGTTCCTTTTGTCATTGATGTCATCCACGTGGAGCTGGCTTAGAAATAACTGTACAAAACAAGGCTTTGGCTAGGATCAATCGTTTCCCAGACATTTAGACGAAATATCAAAAATCGTGCCCTCTAAAATTCGTTTATTTTCATAACACAAAAACCTAATTCTAATGTTCTGTCCAAATTTAAAACAAGAGGCTAATAATTCTAACAATGAACAAGGCCAAAAGAGCGTGACGATGGTTCCCTTCTATTGTCATAACCTTTCTGTTTCAATTGATCCCTGCATATATGCTTTCCACTTTTTCAAAACATCTAGATAAGGCGAAAAAAAATATTTGAAACCCGATTTTGGGCCTTTTGGAATTATGAGATTGAATAACAATTGAGAAAGTCACATAACACCAATATAGCTGATTTACTTCTAAAATAAATGCTTGGTACTTACTCGCCTTTCAGACACTTATACTACCTCGCCCCTTTAGCCCCCCCCCCCCCCCCCCCCCCCCTTCAAACTTTATTCACAATGGCAAAAATGTCACACTATAGCACTCTGTGAGCACCATGACAAACGGACTGAAGTCCGAGTTAGACTTTGATACCGGATGCTCTCAGTGAATCACGGAACAATTAAAATTAAACCGGCAGCAGGATAATCTTCGAAGGTTACCTTACTTTATTGCAAGTTTGTTGCCATCAAGAGAAGCCAAAAATAGATGAAGCAAGGTTAATCTCAATGAACTGCTCTTCGATTATCTTGTACAGGGGTATCTCGTGAAATTGAGCAGAATGTAAGCCCCTTCCCCGGAATTTATGTAGAAATTTCTATGGATAGTCCGAGGGGCAAATCACCCTCGGGATGTTCGGGTCGACAATTAATGAAAAAAGGCACATTCCAAAGGCTTATCATTTCCATACAGGCATTTTTGATAAGAACAACTCTTAAAAGAAACAACAGGCTGAGATTTGCCCAAAAATAAGAACATCGTTGGAAACAAGGCAGGCTGAAGTTCAACAAAACTCAATGAATAAAGTACCAGCAAAAATTTAGAAATGAAAGAGTACCAACCGCAAAGAACAGAAAGTGATAAGCAAAATAACATTAAATACTTAATCGAGCACATTTTATGTCCGTGCACTTCCATGCACAGGAAATTCCATTAAATCCCTAAGAAACAAAATGAAAAACTCGTTAGGCTGAATTTATGCAAAAAAAAGAAATGCCAGACTAAAACTGGATCCAAGTGTTCTTATTAAAAAAGCGCGTGACACTTAAAACTAACCCAAACTCAAATCTAATGGCGATTGAGGTGGAAGCAAAAAAAGTAACATTTTCGAGTTGCCTCCACACCGAACATTGAGAAACTCCCATACCAACATTTCCGTACAAATACAGCACAATACAGCACAATACAGCACAATACAGCACAATATAGCACAATACGGCACAATACAGCACAATACAGCACAATACAGCACAATATAGCACAATACAGCACAATACAACACAATATAGCACAATTCAGCACAATACAGCACAATACAGCACAATACAGCACAGTACAGCACAATATAGCACAATACAGCACAATACAGCACAATACGGCACAATACAGCACAATATAGCACAATACAGCACAATACAACACAATATAGCACCATACGGCACAATACGGTACAATACAGCACAATACAGCACAATACAGCACAATATAGCACAATACAGCACAATACAGCACAATACGGCACAATACAGCACAATATAGCACAATACAGCACAATACAACACAATATAGCACAATTCAGCACAATACAGCACAATACAGCACAATACAGCACAATACAGCACAATACAGCACAATACAGCACAATTCCGCACAATACAGCACAATTCCGCACAATACAGCACAATTCCGCACAATTCAGAACAAAGACAAACTATGTATACGTAATTGTGGCAGATCAGGACGATAAAATTAAATTTACCAGCTATATCAGATAACGGCTAAAACAATATTGAATTTGTTTAGTTTCCTTGAATAATTCAACGGTGCATTTCAGTTTCAATTTATTTGCTTTCTCGTTGTAAGCATTACTTCCAGAAAGAAATAGATGAATTAAATGGTGGTCAGGTAGTTGAGCTATCTAATTGCCAACTATATCAGATGCCATATCAAGCCGGTTCAATCTAAGGAGTAATTCGTTAATATTGGCATCAATGCAGGGAGTAGTGGATCGTAGATTCGACACAGAAATCATACAAGCAAAGTTATGATTCGCAGCACTTGATGATACCATTGAATGATTTTTGAGTTGGACGAATTTTAGAAATTAGTAACTTTTTGAATGAGAATATTGTCCGAGCACGTCGGATCTTTTTGGTACCAATGGAGAAAAAACTTTCTTTTAGTACAATGGACCCTCAGTTTTTAACCCTTCCGTGGGTTACAGGGGCATTTGTTGAGCTTAAAGCCATTGCTCCTATTGGAACTAAAAATCTTTATTGGTCATTTCAAAGACTTGTTTTTGTTGGGCCCCAACAGATCTTACAAATTATGCTGCGTATTACAATTAGGGATTAACTGACTCAACCTCCTCTCCTCTTTCCCTCTCCTTCCCCTTATCAATAAAATT